CGCGGCTCCTTGATACAGTCCCAATAAATAATTGCATTGATAATGAATGCGGGAATGCAGCGGCCTTTCGCGATGATCTAATCATCCTCATCCGCCTCGGCCGGCATCAGGAGGCAGCCCCGTTACGCTGACGATGCTCCGATCGATAAGCAAAACCGCACTATCTTTGGCTTTAAACGCGACCCGCTTGCGATACTTCAAAACAAGCTATTTTCCGCCTGATTACGGACTAAGGTCGACGTAAAGTGTTTAGTCTCTACGAATCGCAGCGGATTTCGCGAGCCCCCCGCGCCCGGCCTCTCTCTCTCTCTCTCTCTCTTGGCGTGCGCGATCCGTCCCCGTCATCGTGTGCACAACGTTGCATCGCGACGTGTCGATGCGGCGGTACACGCGGCTGGCTATTGCACCGTCTGGTACGAACGACGCCGCTGAAAGAGCATCCGCCTCTCACGCGAGCGCGAAGGTGAACGCCGCCGCTGCACGCTGCGTGCCGATGTCATAGGACGAGCGTACGGCATGCCTGATACGTTACTTAATAATACATTATATCATTGCTAAAGCCTGTTGCACACCTGTACCCATAGCGAGGCGGATTATGCCGAGTGACCGATATCAAATAATCAATGAATAAGTATACGCACTCGCTCCTGAGTGATCTTTTGTGCCGTTTACTTATTAAATATTAAAATTTAAACCCTTACCTTGAATTAAATAACATTTTTAACTACCATGTATGTCGAAATTTATTATTTTAACACAAAACAGTATTATTTTAACTCTATTGGTTTAGTTAAATCAACATTGTTTTCGTTAAATTGACGAGATATTGAGTATAATGTTATGCAGTAACATATTTATATTCTTATATGGGCAGCCGACACCGTCAGCTCATGATTGTTATAAATTAAAATGATTATTTAATAGAATTAATGTTAATTTCATTATATAAATAGTATAATAAGACAATATATAATATGAAGTGAAATAAAAGTAAAATATAAGTTAATAAAATTTATATAAATTTCATTTGTTGCAATCAATCCTTTTAGTTATTGCAAAATATTTTTAAGTGGTTATATCGTCTAAACCTGATGATAAGAATCGTTATAAGAAGAAGATAAACAAACTTCTTTCTCGCGTTTTTCACAGAATTCTGTATGTTTTAGGTCGCATTGTTATTGCGATTTGATTTAAATTTTCGTGTGAAGAAAAAGCCTATTTCATGAGATTGCTCTCAATTGAAAATAGTGTAGAAAAATGTAAAAAATACATAACACAAAAATATATAATTTAATAATCAGCTTTAAATATTCTTACGTACTTCTACAATAAGTTATATGGCGATATTAAATTTTCCTAAGCTGTTACAAAATATTTTGAAATGATAATGTCGTCCAAACCTGATGATAATAACAAACTCATAATTCTTTGTGTCTTTCAGAGAATCCATTCAAGTGTCGCTTTGTTATTACGATTTGATTCAAAATCCGCGTGAAGAAAGAGCCTATAACGTTATAAAATTGTCCAATACACACATCGTAAGATTTGATGCATTGCTTCATTTCTCAACGAGATCCGCGAGGCCGTTTCTGAATGAATGCGTCGAGTGAAGCGGAGCAATAAATTGCAGAATATGATCTTCAAAATTGATTGCGCGAACACAACGGCGAGGTCTTCCTGGTTTTCCGCTGGCGCATCTAACGATCCCCGGATTCCCCCCGCCAGACCGGATGTACAATACGAAAATATCGCGAAAAAAAATCTCGATCCGCACGCGGCATATCATGCGAGCGGCTCTATCCGTCTTCGATATTTGCATTCCTACTCCTGCAATGCACATTCCCTCCCGACTGCCGTCGGTGCTCTGCTCGTACCAGGCCGCACAGCCTGGCACGAACGCTGCACTTCCAAGCCGGGGCCACTTCCTCTCCTCTGCTCTCCTCTCTAGTGCCATCAGCGTCTCTCTCTCTCCTACTCTCATTGTCTCCCTCTCCCTAATCGGCAACCGCTCCTCACCTCTCACGGAGCTTCTCTCCCTCTCTCTGTCCCTCCTTTTCCCATCTCCCTCTTTCCCTCTCTCTCTCTCTCTGCTCGTCTCTTCTCTTACGATGATGAGGCACCCACATACACAGAACGTGGCTTACTTACACATCTTTAAGGCTCTCTCACCTCCTCCGTGCTCTCCTCACTTTCCTTCACGGATCCAGCGGATCTGCGGTTTCTGAACGAATGTCGCCGCGGAAAATGATCGATCGACATATACGATCTCAAATGTCGATTATATTTACCAAGAGCAACGAGCATCGTGAATGTCATTTCAAAAATTGATCGTTTATTTCTGAAAGGTTTCGCAGAAACAGTTGCTGTTTCTTCACTTTCTCTAGCTTAAGCGATCTATTGGATTCCTCGCTGAAATAATGTTACGGTGAAGCAAATCATAAAGTAACGAATACGGTCTCAAAACCTTAGTAATCGTGACCTGTGAGAGGGACACATTTAAAAACACTCGCGTTCCGAATACCTGAAAGGTATCGCGTTCCGGGGGAAAAACTTTATCCAACGCGACATTTTCTATTTTGCATATATATATATCACACGCTTCATCTGAGCGTGACCGATTTTTTTTTTCAAACATTAATCACAACGTTGTCAGCCGATTGCACAGCGCAGGGATCGCTTTCTCGTCCAAGGACAATGTATCAAGGATCCTCCCGCGATGGGAAAGTCTCCGTAAACGGGCCTCGATTGCCATCGCCGCGCGATAGATCCTTTTGCGAGAGGAGATCAGTTTTCCTTTCATAACGCGAAATAAACTTGGAAAACGCACAGACGCAGTCGAGGGGAAGCTCATTAGCTTAAATAGGACAATTGGAGATTATTCTTCTCTATTCGAAACGTTAATAAGCAGAAATTCAGGCTTATAGATTTCTCAGAGCCCAGTTTTCATGAAAATATTGGAAAGTATCGATATTTTCGCGTTATTGTAATTATTTCTTTATCACAACTATTCAAATTATTATAGTTATCGTGCAATTACTATAATTATTTTCTATAGAGTTTATATCAGAATATGGAATGTCAATTTATCATTTATTTTCGAAAACCATTTCGAAAATCTTGCCAAGCACCACTCCAGATTGTATATGATTGAACCTAATAATGTTTTGAAATAGGATTTCTCATTCCTCGCAGTAATCGTCTTGCATTTCTGCCATCGCTCAGGAAACGGCGGCGGTGCGTCGCGTCACAAAGGAATCGTCTTCGCAGGAAAATGTGAATTATCATAAATCCGGGTTTCTCTTTTAAACGATTGACATCTTGGGTGTGTACGTATGTTTATGTGCGTGTAAAGGCCGGATTTATATTATCCTCATTATCGCTAATAATTCAAACGAAACGTCATCGCCATCGAGCGCTGCGCCGATGACGACGATATTCGAATATCAATAGGCATACGCATTTGCATAACGACACTCGTGAAAAATTCCGCGTCGTTATGCAAATTTCTCTCCCATCTGCAGCCGATGAACAAAAGTCACCTGCAAACAATAAACCGAGACAGGAGACCGGCTGCTTATCGCGCCTTTTCTTATCACGCGTCTCGCGGATGCTGATGCGCAGCAGACTTTAAGTCGTTTCGAAGCATTTCTATACCTACCTGTTTGAATGTGAAAACAAATTATTCGTTTGTCCTTCTCTAATTCAAGGAGCCATTTGAACGTTGTATTTTCTACGAAACACAATGCTTGAAAACACTTAAATAATAATTCATAAAAGTTTACGTATAATCTGCATACTTGTCCAATTATGTCTAGTATAATGTATAATGAAGAGTGGAGATTATTGCAATCATGCAGACGGATCGTCGTGAACTTAATTTCCACCCACGAGCTCGGCGTCGCCGTAACAATACTTTTTGGTATTTCCGTTCTCCGGTTACTTTAGACGAAACAAAGAAAAGGAAAGCTTTTCGACTGCCTTGTAACCGAAACTGCTGATTGACGTATTTCCCATATATCGATCAATTTCATCGTTATAGCAGTCATCTTATATTCTCTTCTCATCTATTCACTAATTAATATTAATGCCAAGACTCTTGCGACTGATATACTAAGTTTTCAATAATAATCCATGACGCGCATATTTTTAGCGGAAAATAACTGATCGATTGCCTTCCATTAAGGAAAGACATTATATTAGAGGAAGGAATTAAATCGCACGCAATATTCTTGTCACAGTGTACGATTTAAAGAACAGTGTATATTTAAAGAATGTGATCGAACCTTCACTTGTGTGTTATCATTTTTATTTTTATATCCGAGTGTAGAAAAAATTAATAAATAGTTTATTACTTATTCCGAAGGATAATTTTTGTTGGGATATTATAATTTTGTTTATAAACAAGGTGTTTTAATGAAAGGAAAAATTCCAATGGTAATTCCTCCGAAATAAGTAATTTGTATTCCAAACTAAATTTATGTTCCTATTCGAAGAATTGAAAAGTTCATGGAGACACAAACTGTAGATATTCAATATTCAACGGTTATTTAAAAGAATCTGTTCTAAATAGCTTTACGGATGTGGCCATTTCAGAAGAACATTAAGGGCGAACTAAAAGTAAAATAATTTCATTTTCTAACGCTGACAGTTATAGTTTCCGATAGTTAACGCGCAACGCCAGCGATACTTTGCGACACGAAATCCGAAATTCCGCGCCTGGAAAGTTGGTTTCTCACTGCACACAACCGCGTTCAATTGTGCCCCCCCTCGATATCTCGGACACACCGCGGGCGAGGTGACGAAATAATCGCCGCGCGAAAGTTCATCGGATGAGGATTCGCTCGGGGAAAAAAAAAGACCCCAGAAGAATCCTATCCTCTCTGCAACGGTTACACCTAGAAACGGCAGTTCCCCGGCGGCAGGCATTGAACCTTTCACCTATCACGGCAGCAATATCGCTTCCCGGCCGATCCCTTCATGCTCTATGCTTTCTGTTACAGGCGATGGCTGCGGGAATAACATGTTCAGGTGCAACGATGGCAAATGTATACAGTCGATTCTGGTGTGCGATTATCGCGGAGACTGCGACGACAACAGCGATGAAATGCAGTCGTGTCGTAAGTATCGGCACGTTCTTTCTTTATGCGGTCATGTCCTAAAAATAATTAATCCATATTGTGCCTTCTCTGGTAGCTCGGCAATCAATATACGATCAATTTCTTAACGTAAACCATTTAACGGTGTTGTTTTTCGATTAAAAACGGTTAACTTAAAATAGATTAAAAACCGTGAAAATCTTATAGGGGGAAATCTAATTTCCCTAAATAATATTTCTTTAATTAAAATGGATTCGGAAATTGTTATTTACGATTGTTTTATACAATATTATTGGTAGTATGTATTGATTCCCCTTTAAAGAAAATGCTTCCAAAAATGTAGCACTTTATATCAAATCTGCAATATGCAGAAATGAAGAGAGTTGTTTTATAAATTGTCATTTTGCCATGCTTCCTGTATTTTACTTAGCAAAAGCAATTTCACAAAGCTCACAAAGCTCGAGATTTTTCTTCATTATCCCCTTATCGTTGTTCAATTTTATTGTCGCATTTATCTCCCCGTGTGATCGCGACGAATGTATTTCGTCGAACAATCGGAATTTCGATGAAATTGGAGCATGTCTTGAAACGGTGAAATTTACTCGGAAAAATATGCTCCACTGTTCGTGCTGATGAATAATTAATGGCGAAGTGCTTCGTTAAGTAATAATAAAGAGGGATGCGTGTATAATCCGCGATCGCCCGCTGCCCCCATTACCAGCTCGCGGTGAAAGAACTTTCAGAATGAAGCCATCGTCTTCATTCAGTACTCTTGGTCGGCAGGCATGGATTTACGGTTATGAAGACCCCGGGGCACGTAAAAAATTGATTTTCCACATAATAGCACCTTACAGTCTTGACAGTGTCGTCGGAGAAACCTCGATATTAACCATTCGAAAGAAAATTCAAGAAATAAATCTCACAATCAAGCTTTAAGTTCTGGTTCACAAATTCTGGTGGAACTAAGGCAATGTCTAATCGAAAGTTTTATGTCGAATTTTTCGGGACTATATACTTGAATTTTGACAGATCTAAACGCGACTCGAATTCGCTCAGAGCGAATTATGATTGTGTGGCCTTGAAACGGCCGATTTTTGATGCGCTCTTCCTGTTTACGAAATGGAATGGATTGTCTCGAGCTATGTATGGCTTACAATAAATCTCGTGCCGGAAGCGCCCGACGAAAATCCGAGGCTTCCTCTCGGAAGTGCTTAGTCTCTTTGTCCATGCATTTTTTTTCCATGCGGCTGATTACGTGACCGCTTTTTGTGATCGCTCCTTATCGTCGGATTTATATTACAGGAAGTGTAAATGTAATTTGTGCCTTGCGTTATTTTTCCCGTGCAAGCGAGGAACAATCGATGCTTTTTTCCGAAACTTGGAAGGCAAGCGGTTAGATTGGCGAAGCGGCGAAATTGTTCAGCGTCCAAAATATCTCTTTGGAAATTGTATATTCGTTTAAAAATAACGTGCGGTATAAAAGTACAACCTCCACTAAAAACCAAATTATTTTCTTTCTGATTCTTGTAGCGTTTAAAAAAATGGTGTTCAGCTCTGAGGTCTTTTCCGTCATATTTGATACATTATGTAGTCACGATGATTCCAAAGTTGGTTAAGTTTTCTTTCTAAGTAAGTGCATTACAATCTTTTGAATATCGCGCAAAATTTTTGTCACCGATAAAAGAAATTCGTCCTTCGACCGCTAATTTACAGAACATTGTCGGTTATCCTTTTGACACCAGAGTTCCAAATCGCGTTTGTCAACAGTGTCCCGTGCTCCTCTATGGGATTTGCCACTTGCCTAGGTCACCGCGAAGTGACGACCGTTTGTTATGCGGGTGACAATGCAAAACCGGAAGCAATGCTGTGACCCTCTTTCGAGGACGGTGTACAAAAGTATCGCGTGTCACTCGATGAAACGGATCCACTGGCACAATTGTATCTCGTTTTGCGTGGAATCGGCTCCAATTCCGCGGCTCGACAACTTTCTCCCAATGTTCATCCCCCTTCCGCCCCGCCTGTCCAATTACCTCTTCATCTATTACAACAAATCCTCATATTTTCGAACCAGTTTACTCTGATATCTCGAAATTGATTTAATGGACATTTACTGGAATACATTGAAAGCGGGAACGAACGAAACTTTGTAATAATTTATAACGTCGCGAAATTCCATCTCTAGTTATTTGGCAAAAAAAACAGCGTTAAAGCGATACCTCGGCGCGGCATGGCACCGTGATTGCCGTGCCATCCGGTATTAAACGATCGAGGGTGCTTCCCTCGATCGCCTGGCGAATCGACGGCCGACCGATTATTCTCGCGTCGCAATTATAGGCACCGACGCAATCTGCGCTCTCGCGTCGCACGAAGCGAGCCTTCGTCTTCGTGCGTTGCCACGTTGCGCGGTATTATTCATGTATTCAGCGCGAACACCTCCGAACTCCGATATTCTTTGTACCGATATCCGAACGAAAAGATGCCCGATAAATGTTTTAAAAGGAAGAGTTTCCTGTTTTTGAATCATGCTGGTGGATCGGTTAAGTATTCCGAGCCTCGGATGACGCCGCAATGGCAATAGAAGCTGTTGAGAACAATCTACAGATCTGTATAGAGTGTGTTTTGCATGTATTTAAATTCAAGAATCGAGTCTTTGACGGACTATTACGTGGTTGATGCGATCATTACGCGTAGAGGTCAAATCACGCTCGCCGCTTGCAATTTTAGCTCTTCGCCGATTATCTAGATTATCTAGATCTGGGTGTCTTTATTATATTCTGTTCGTAAACAAGATTACTACCAATAACGTATAGAAACGTGACGAATCAGTCGTTTCTCTATAATCAAACAGCGAGAAACTTTAGTCGGAGAGCAATTTAAAATCAAATATCCGGATTATTATTTTATTGAAAATTAAAATAAATCACTTTTAATCTACAAAATTACGCATTAACAACCGCATTGTACTCTCATAGCCCTTTAGTCACCGTAATTTGTTGGTTCATTATCGAGAGTCCTAAATTATTTTTTTTTAATTTGAATTTAAGATCATTTTATCCCACGAAAGACCGAGCTCCTATTCTATCTCGATGTCCTCACCGACTATTAATTTATTAATTTTTTTACCAAAAATAATATATTCAAATCGACAACAATTCATCGAATAACATCGTCAATGGTTAAAATATAAAATATGAAAAATGATTGAGAATGTGTCGACGATGGTAGCCTCTTTCTCATCAGGTATTTTAAATTTTGATTGCGCTTAAATATTTCTGCATTGACGAAAAAGAATTTTCTGTTATATTTTTCATATTTTATATTTTAACTATTGACGATGTTATTCGACCCCATGCTTTATTTTGTTTTGTTAGATCACTTGATAAGGACCCGAAGCCTGGGTTGAAACGTTGTGAAGTTTATGTACATATTTTTTGCCAATTGTTGTCGATTTGAATATATTATTTTTGGTTAAACATTATTGGCGGAACAAACATTTATTGTTGGTATTAATTTTTTTGTTTTAATTGGGTTTCAGCACCGCCCGACTGCGAGATCGGCCAGATCACGTGTGGCCAGTACAGCTTCAACAAGACGTACTGTATACCGCCGCACCAACGGTGCGATATGACCGTCGATTGCGTCGACGGCACTGATGAAGACGGCTGCAGTGAGTGCAAATTGCAATCATCTTTTCCAACTGTTTTCTTTTCTATCCTGTCGCGCACGACGCGATATAATTAGAGATAAAAAAAATTATATATTCTCACGTAGCATTGACTTAAACTAACGCGCTGAAAAACGTGCCTGCCTCGCGCCTGAAGGCACGAAGTCACATCAGTGCTCCTCACAAGAGATGTATCCTCGTCTATTTTTATTCAAAACCTCACTTTGCTGATAGTAATGATTTGCGTTATTTTCTCTTTGCTCAGCAAACTACCGTATCGGTCTGTACCAACTGAAAACTAATCCCTGAGTGTTGAAAAACACAGAGGATTCGTTACGATATTTCGGGTATATCGAATAACTAACGATTTTGAATAATTTTGCGTTTCCATTTCTCTTCTTTTGTCTTCCATTCCTCTCGTGAACGATGATGCAAAAAAGATGCAATTGTCAAGAAGCGACCTCAAGAACGTCAACTGCGTCATTTAGATGAAATATTAATTATTCCGGATATATATCGTACGAAAAAGATACTACGTGATAACATTATCGTCAGTGACAAGGCCGCTCGCATAAGAGCATGGCTAAGTAGCAGCTGCGCAGCGATTAAGCGGATTCTTCGCGCTAGGATTCACTAAATTATCGCGCTGTCACGATAACACGCGCGCGCTGCACATTGTTTAATCAGCGACATTATGCTCACTGAAGTCGTAAAAATGAAAACTCAGATTTACAAACATTTCACGCCGATAACGCTTTCCTTTCTTTCGAACGCTGGCCTTCTCGCTGTCGAAACCTTTGTGCTATTTATAACCAATCACTTTCTGAATCGTAATATCTTATTTGAACTCTCGGTGCATTTTTTCCGTTCTCTCGATCTATCGGCATTGAGATATTTTTAAGAATTATAGGCATTGTGAAACTCGTAAAATTTATATTTATTCGAACTTTATTATTGAACGTTTTTTATATCTTTCAGTAAAAAAAACGCGAGATTTTTAAGAGGACACTTTGGATTTAGAAAAAAAAAGTAAATATAATATCTTATTAAAACGTTCCGCGGCCAAAATTCAATTGGTTGTGATTTTAAGACAAATTTACACGGTCCCTCGTCTCGGTTTCTCCTCCTCTACTCCTTATCTTAATATCGCACGAACTGAGCGCGAAAAAAATCACGTCCCGGTTTGCCATATCGGGCTCATTCCGCGTGTTTGTCAACGGCGCGAACGTGTCGCACCAGGTGATCGTCAAGATACGGTCGCACATTATGTGCAGCTAATGCAGAGTTATCACGCGAAACCATTTGGACCCGAAAGCGTGATCAACTCCGAATCGCCTTTTGACGCATGTTATGTAAAAGCGACATGTATGCCACACCATTTGTCACGTTTCGCATTCTCGAACGCGCCACTGCGGATGTTTTTCTCGTATTATTGCAAAAGCCTTATAGACATATTTTCGCAGATTTTATGATGCAATGTGAGATAATTTATTCCAAGAATCTAAACACATCCTGAAAAATTAATGAAATATTACATTTATCCCAACGTCGAGCATTCATATATTTTATTGCGTGATATTCCGTGAGAAAGAAAATTTGCAAGGGCGAAAGAGTGACAGGGGGGACCACCCGACGTGTGTTGCAGCATACAGGAAGTGCCAGCCGGATGACTTCAGGTGCGTTGGGACCACGCCGGAACTTTGCATACCCAAAGAAAAGAAGTGCGACGGTTACCTGGACTGCCGGAACGGCAGGGACGAGGAGAGATGCGAAAATAATATGAAGCCGGCCTGCCGATTGGATCAATTCAGGTGCAACACCACGCAACGCTGCGTCGAGCAGAGCGCGAGGTGCAATCATTGGGACGATTGCGGTGACAACAGCGACGAGGAACACTGCAGTGAGTTCGCGATTTTGCAACACGAGTCCATTCGAGTTCGATGCTTCGCGGTTTATCCCTTCAGCCATCATCTCTTTAAAATTTTACCTTTTTTTCCCTTCTTATTCTTAGTATCAAGAGTTCAGGAAGCGTCTTTTAATGTACAATGTAATAGTAATATGAAAGTAAAACTGAAATCGTGACAGCTGTAGTAAATAACGTTAAGATTTTCTCGGCAATGCATAAATTTCAAAGGATTAAAATTTTACCTTCCGTCTTTTTTCTTCCGTTAATTGCCCTTATTTTTACCGTCAAGTTACCAGGTGTCTTTTGATTTTATGATGTGTTATCTATGAAAGTAAAGTTTAAGTTATGACAATTCTTACAAAAAATGTTAATAGGATTTTCTCGGCGATGTATAGATTTCAAGTGATTAAATTTTTATCTTTTATTTTCTTTCTGTTAATTGCCTTTATTATTTATATTATATCAAATTACCATGAGGCATCTTTTAATGATTGATCTTACAATGTATATCTATTATTTATGAAAGTAAAACTTAAATTGTGGTATTTTCTATAAATAATGTTAATATTCGACAATATATACAATAGATTTTAAATTTCTTCGCATAGATTTCTTCTTTCTGTTAATTTCACCTATTCACTATATCGAGTTATGAACGTCTTTTAATGACTGTGATATACTATATATAAAATTAAAGCACAGTGTCAGTTTGTTACAAATAATTAATAAGAGATTAATTAATGACAGGGAGAGAGTTAATAAGAGATTTCTTGATAATGCTCAGGTTTCCCACCTTGCACCAGTGATCAGTTCCGATGCGCCAATGCGCTCTGCATTCCCATAGCATATCAATGCGATGGTTATAAAGACTGCCAGGATGGTTCCGACGAGAAGTCCTGCACAATGACAGTCTGCCCAGGAAACAAATTCATGTGTCCGAAAGGTACACCAGATGGAAAGCCATTATGCATCAATCGATCTCAGTTGTGCGATGAAAAACATGATTGCGAGGACGGGGCGGACGAGGAGGCGGCATGTTGTAAGTGTAATTTAATTATGTGCTTAATTGCAACATTGAACGCAAAAAATTTACATGAAATTACGTTCGTATGTGTGTTACGTCGTTTTGTTTTCTTAAATAATATCAAATGATTATATAAAAAATAGATTTCATGATGAGCTCGCGTAAGAACGATTATAGTAATAGTTATATAAACTTGATTTATAGCAATTATGAAGTAAATTGTAGCAGTAGAATAATTGCAGTAATTATGGAGCAATCAATATACAGAAACGAAAAGTCACATCTAAAACTTCACCGAGCAACGTTCCTCGTCAGCATTTCGAAACATAAATGTTTAGAACTTAAAATATGGAGTATAGATTTTATATTTTAAATTATATTAAGTATAGAATATAGAATATAGATTTTTAGGTTTAGATTAGAAGATTTTTAGATGTTTAAAAGAATCAAATTTCTTTATCATGCCATGTGATGACGAGCGAGTGTAGAGCTCGCTTGGATTATAAAATTCTATATTTTAAATTATATTAAATGTAAAATATAAAATACACTGTTAAATTTATAATGTCAATTTGAATTATTTTTAACCATTCTTATAGATCACTTCGTCTCAAAAAATATTATTTGCTATTAATTAAATTAAAACAATGTTAATTTAACTAAACTAATGGAATTAAAATAACACCGTTTTGTGCTAAAATAATAAATTTCGACACACATGGTAGTTGAAAATAATAAAATGTTATTTAACTTAAAGTATTGGTTTAAATTTTATCCTTCAATATTTAACAGTGTAGATTCAGATTCAGATTAAGAGATTCTTAGATGTTTAAAAGGATCAAATTTCTTTATCGTATAGCGACGAGCATGTGCGGCTTACTTGGTTGCCAACATAAATGTCAAGCATCTCCGGCCGGAGGGACTTGCTACTGCCCGGAGGGAAGAGTCCTCGCCAATGATTCGCGGACCTGCATTGGTATGTTGTTTGACTCCGTACGAATTAAAACTTCTAGTGTCCAATATGCTGGTGTTGCAACTATTGAAGAATCCTGAGTTAGAAAAATTTAAGAATTTACTCGCGAAACTCATCCCTTTTTGCATCGTTTCCTCCGCGTCGCCCATCGGACTGTTTTCTTTCCGCAGATCGAGACGAGTGCTCCGAGTGGGGCTTCTGCGAGCAGCTGTGCGAGAACAATGACGGCTGGTACACGTGTCACTGCGCGCCCGGCTATATTCTTCACGGGCAAAACAAATGTCGCGCCCAGAACATTTCCGCCCTGGAGCTCCTGCTCGCGCAGGATCGCGCGATATGGCGATTGAGCGCGACCGGCGAGGATCGAAAGATAATCGCCAACACCACCGGCGCGAGCGGGGTGGATTACCTGTACTCGCGAAATCTCCTCTTCTGGAGCGACATGAAGACGCGGAAGGTTCACTCGGAATCCCTCAACCCCGGTAGCGACACGCCGGCCAAGGTGGACATCAGTATGGCGGGCTCATGGGGACCCGTGTCCATCGCGATAGACTGGATCGGCGACAAACTCTACGTGGCGGATTCCATCGTGCAAAAGGTAGACGTGTTCGAGCTGGACGGACGTTACCACGGGATCGTGGTGAGCTCGAATCTCACCAGCCCGACCGACATCGCGCTGGACCCCACGAGGGGCCTCATGTTCATCGCCGACAGCAAGCAGGTCCTGCGCACCAACATGGACGGTACCAACGCGTTCCCCGTCGTCTCCGAGGCAGCCTATAAAGTCTCCGGCGTGGCCGCTGACATCATTGCCAAGAGAATCTACTGGTGCGACTCTCTGTTGGATTACATCGAAACTGCAGACTACAGAGGTCACAACAGAGTAATGATTCTCAGAGGTTCTCAAGTGCCATCCGCAATCAGACTCACTCTCTTCGAGAACAGGATATTCTGGACGGACGCCACCAAGCAGGCCGTCATGAGCGTCGATAAGACTCAAGGAGATTATTCCATCCAAAGTGTATTTAAGGTACCAATATGACAATCAGATATTTCAATTTCGTCAAAATATGTGTTTTAGTCAATCTAATCAATTTCTACTACATTTGACTAATTAATATATCCTCTTCAATTAACTTGTAATGATGTTACACTATGGTGTTCAATGTAAAATATTTTTCCAAAGTTTTGAGAAAATTTATGTGACATGTGATATTAGGCATAATAATATGGTAATATTTATCATTCCCTTTTAAGGTACGCGACGCCAAAGCTATAAAAGCCTTGCATCCACTCTCGCAACCTAGCGTCTCCAATCCCTGCGGCAATAATAACGGCGGCTGTCAGCACATGTGCATCGTCACGGCCTCCAGCGATCAAAACAATCGATTAGGCTATCGCTGTGCTTGCCACATTGGATGGCGATTGGCATACGACATGAGGAACTGCAACTTGGTGCAGGAGTTCCTCATGTATTCGCAGCAGAGGTTCATTAAAGGCCGCGTGCTCAATCCCGTGATGGAAGGCTTTAACGATGCTATCCTGCCGGTGGTGTCCAGACGGGCACGATTCGTTGGATTGGACTACGACGCGCACGACCAGTACATCTATTACAGCGATGTTCTTCAGGACGTCATATACAGAGTACACCAGAACGCGACCGGACGCGAAATCGTCCTGGCTAGTCAAAATGAGGGGGTGGAAGGACTTGCGGTCGATTGGGCCGCGAAGAACTTGTACTACATTGATTCACGTAAAGGTTCGTTGATGACGAAGACGACTTGAGTAAGAATTGAATCTTTGAGCCGTTGATGTTCAATTCAAGTTGATTCGTAACATGAGTTTTTATTAACTTTTCAATAAAGGGATAATTAAAAGCTGTAAATTAAGCGAAAATAAATAGAAGCGAAAAAGATCTATTTGGTTGACCAAAATTTTTCTACTTTCTCAGGCACGCTAAATGTGCTCAGCACTCGGAATGTCACGTATCGGCGAACACTATTGAAAAATCTGAAGCGTCCTCGCGCGATCGTAATCCATCCGAATCAAGGTTACATCTTCTTCTCGGAATGGGACCGTCCGGCCAACATCAGCAGAGCTCACGCTGACGGCTCCAGCTTGGTCGTCTTCAAAAATCTGACTCTGGGCTGGCCAAACGGACTGGCGATCGACTTCAATAAAGATCGATTGTACTGGTGTGACGCTCTTCTGGATCACGTGCAGCATTCGAATCTAGACGGTACGGATGTGCAAACGGTGAACTCCAGACTAATCCGACATCCGTTTTCCATCGCTATCCACGAGACTTGGATGTACATCACCGACTGGCGTCTCGACGCCATTATTCGGCTGCACAAAGAAACCGGCGAGCACGAAGTTATCTTGGTCCGTGAGCCCGCTACCAACAGACTTTACGGCGTGAAGGTCTTCAGTCGTGACATCCAGAAGATGACGAGTGCCCACCCTTGTAACATTAATAACGGCGGTTGCGAGAAACTTTGCTTTGCTATTCCGGATAACTCTTCGCGCTCTGACGCTATCACGTTCCCTGGCTCGCAACACAGGCCGAAACTCACTAGTGTATGCGGATGTCCTTATGGAGAACGCCTTCAGAGCAATGGCAGGAGTTGCGCAGCGGATCCGGACGGGGAACCGCCTCTGCAAGCGTGTCCACATACTTGGGATTTCACTTGCGCGAACCAGAGGTGCGTGACGATTTAACTTCTTCAGTTGATTGAAGCTAATTGTTTAGTACTTGTAAAATTCTCAAGCAAAATTTAAAAGCTTTACTTTAATCTGTAATTTAATATTGCCGCTTTCGAACATCATATTAGTTTATCTCAAATATTAAATGATTAACGCGACCTTCTGGCCAATATATTACTTTATATTCAATTAAATATAAAAGTAGATCTTTTCCAAATGTACTTGCAACTTTGAATGTTTTAACTCTCAATCGACCTACTTCCAGATGTGTCCCGAAATCCTGGGTGTGCGACGGCGAGAACGACTGCCTCGACAACAGTGACGAGATGCAAAACTGCACAAAACCGACGTGCAGCGCGAACGAGTTCCAATGCAAGTCCGGTCGTTGCGTACCGATGACGTTCCACTGCGATTCCGAGAACGATTGTGGCGATTACAGCGACGAGATGGGCTGCCCGAATGTGACTTGTAGCGCTAATCAATTCGCCTGCGCTAATAATCGCTGCATCCCCGCAACTTGGAAATGCGATTCCGAGAACGACTGCGGCGACAGCTCCGACGAAGGCGAGTTCTGCGCAGCTAAAACTTGCTCGTACTTCCAGTTCACGTGCCCACGCTCCGGCCACTGTATACCGCAGTCTTGGGTGTGCGACGGCGACAGCGACTGCTTCGACCAACAGGACGAGATGGATTGCCCACCGGTCACCTGTCTCAGTACGCAATTCACGTGCGCGGATCAGAAGATGTGCGTTTTAGCGTCGTATAAGTGCGACGGCATTAGTGATTGCAATGATGGATCGGACGAAGTGGGTTGCCCGTCGCTGGCGCCAGATCAGTGTAACACCGACAAGCAATTCCAGTGTGTTAGTTCAGCTATCTGTATTCCGAGAAGCTGGTACTGCGACGGTACCGCCGATTGCCCGGACAAGTCTGACGAGCCGGAATCGTGCGGAAAGGTCGACTGTCAGACTGGATTTTTCAGGTTTGTCGTATTCATTAATTAAACTACCTTGCATTCTCTCAGAAAGAGTAGATGATAAATATGTACATTTTATTCTTGTTTAATTTGTCGATATCTAACTTGACATATTCCTCAGGTGCCGGAACGAGAGATGTGTATTTAAGGCGTATATCTGTGATGGAAAAGACGATTGTGGAGATAACTCCGACGAAGACACCGAGTTGCACGCATGCGGTCCTCCTACGTTCAAGTGCGAATCCCAGCAATGGAGGTGTCCGAATGTAACGAATCGTTGCGTAAATACGACCAGCGTATGCGACGGCAAGCCAGATTGTCCCAATGGCGCGGACGAGGGACCCGGTTGTGATCTCGCCGAATGCACCCATCAGGGCGGATTGTGTACCAACGGTTGTATTCAAACACCACTCGGTGAGCAATGCACCTGTCCGGCTGGCGAGGAGCTCACCAGCGACGGCTTTACATGTCAGGACATGAACGAGTGCGAGCCGCAAGGCAGATGTTCGCAGGTCTGCGTGAACACGAAGGGCGGCTACTACTGCAGCTGCGTGGATGGTTACACATTAGACACCGATAAACACACGTGCAAGGCGTTCAATCACAGCGCCGCGTTCTTGATTATCTCAAACAGGCATACCATTCTGGTGGCGGATCTTCAAGATCAAGCGCTGGAACGTGTTCCCATCAACGTAGAGAACGTCGTGGCGACTGCCAGCAATATGCACACAGGCACTATTTTCTGGTCGGACATGAAGTTGAAGCGAATCTCGCGATTAGATCGCGGTAGTGATCCTCAAGACGTAATGAGTACCGGTTTAGATCTGGTGGAAGGTCTAGCCTACGACTGGATCGGTCAGAATCTGTATTGGTTAGACTCAAAGCTGAATACAATCGAAGTGGCTAAGGAGACTGGAGCTGGAAGAATGATTCTTGTCAAGGAGAATATTACGCAGCCACGTGGAATGTGTTTGGATCCCAGTCCAGGTGCAAGATGGCTCTTCTGGACCGATTGGGGTGAAAACCCTAGAATCGAAAGAATTGGTATGGACGGCACCAATCGATCGACCATCATCAGCACAAAGATTTACTGGCCTAACGGTCTAGCGCTCGATATCGCAAATCGCAGAATATATTTCGCGGACAGCAAGTTAGACTTCATTGACACTTGTCTGTACGATGGCAGCAAGAGACTACAGGTTCTAGCCAGTTCGCACTATCTTCTGCATCCTCATTCCCTCACTCTTTTTGAGGACACTATGTATTGGACCGATAGACAGCTCAATCGAGTACTCTCCGCACACAAGTTTAAGGGCTCCAATCAAACGGTGGTGTCGCATCTAATTTCCCAGCCGCTCTCCATACACGTACATCATCCAGTGCTACAACCGATCACTCCGAATCCTTGTGCTAACACATCCTGTGAACATCTATGCCTTCTGTCGCCTAGTAATCCGAAGGGATACAGTTGTAAATGCCAAGTGAGTGATTATGCAAATTCCAAAGTAGGAAATTATCAGAAAAATTCTATTAGTTCAGATTGAATAATTTTTTTTTCGTTTATCTCAGGTTGGATTTAAATTGCTACCTGACGGACGCTGCATGGAAGAAGAGACACCATATTTAATGGTTCTTCGGAGTTCTCAGATCGTTGACGTTTCTTTGACGCCTAAAGAAACCAAGACTGGATACATCACGCCTATCGTAGGTGTGGAAGGCGGAAGATTTATCGAATATGATAGAAGAGATCGTATTATTTACTGGCTGCAAGGTAAAATAACTGTTTTCTTTAGTAACCCTGGTGTAAAACTTTCTTAAAATTTTTTACATAATTTTTCTTATAAATTTTATAACTTTTTAAAAAGTTTTTAGATATTTTATACGAATTGAAGCACTTTTCAAAAATACTGAAAAAGTATATATCTTTTCTAGAATTCTTTATACCTAAAAATTCAGAAATATTTTAAAATTTTTTATTCTGTAATTTTCAAAGATATTCCTTAAAAATATTGTAATTTTTTCACCAAGGTCCTTTTTGTTTTATAAAATCTAATAATTCAAAGATTTAGATTTTAGAAGCTTTAAGAGAGAATTTTAACCATTTTGTTATTTACATAAGGCAAAGATAACGACCACGAAAATGGCACGATTTATGGCATTCCTTACAACGGTGGCAACCGGACAGAGTTTCCAAATCCATCCGGCGATAGTGGTGTTGTCGGTTCACCATCTACTATGGCGCTGGACTGGCTTGGACGCAACATGTTTATTGGCAACAAATTCGCGTCCAATATCGAAGCTATTAAATTGGATGGCAAGACGCGATTCCGCACAATCGTTTTATCAAACGATGGAAATCGTACATCAGTTTCCAAACCGAAGGCGATGTGCGTGGACCCTATTGACGGACAAATATTTTGGGTGGATGACGGAGGTTTTGGAGTACCTCAGAAGATCGGACGGGTGAATATGGACGGCACTAATCCGCTGGTCCTCGCAGAGAACATAGAACGTCCTGAAGCAATTACCATCGATATACCTAGCAAGACGCTATACTTCTCCTGCCAGAATCCGGCCTTTATCAAAGCCATGTCGACAGACGGTCTAAATGTCCGCACCATTCTCACTGCTGCAAACAACATGGCTTTGCCTAAGGCGATAGCTGTCCATGAGTCTCGTCTGTACTACTTGGACCCGCTTTATGACAAAATCGAACGTGTTGATCTGCCTAACGGCGACAATCCAACCACTATCATTGACAACGACTCTGAGCTTCGTACTCTGACCATTTATAAAAAACGTGCGACCGGATCTCATCCTTGTCTTATAAACAACGGTGAATGCGAGCAGCTTTGCCTGCCTGCATCTGGAGGCACGCGCGTTTGTGCTTGCGGAATGGAATATAAAAAGGTCACGGAAACCAGATGCGAGCCTTACAAGACTTTCGCCGTGGTAACTCAGCTAGATGTTGCCCGGGGTTACAGTCTCAAGGACTCCAAGGAAGCCATGGTACCCATTACTGGAACTGGTCATCATATCCTCCATGTTGATGTACATTACGCGGGCAACTGGATATATTGGGTGGAATTTAATCGAGGCATCTGGAATGGTATCTTCAGGTAACTATTGACTGTTTCTGCAAATTGTTAAAATGTAAAAAATCTTGGGATCCGTGATTTCTTCACGAAGACGATACAATAACCAAAGTACTATTAATTTCCGTTATATTTTAGAATACGACCAAACGGCACGGAATTGCAACAGGTAGTCAAACAAGGAATTGGTTCCAATGGAATTCGTGGTCTAGCCGTAGATTGGATAGCAGGGAACTTATACTTCGCTAATATCTTCCCGCATGACAACTACGTGGAGGTCTGCTGGTTAGACGGTTCCAACCGAAAGGTGCTCGTGAAAACGACGACAGACGCTCCTCGGGAGCTGGCCGTGAATCCTATCAAACGATACTTGTATTGGATCGATTACGGACAATATCCTCGAATAGGCAAGGCCTTCCTCGACGGTAGCAATTGGTCTCCCATTGTAACATCCGGCATTAGCACACCGCGCGATTTAACGATCGATCTTGCAACGCACGATGTTTATTGGGTGGACTCGAAATTGGACACAATCCAGAAAGTCTCCTACACGGGTGGAAACCGAGAGATTATCCGTAGGAATCTGCCAAATCCAATGGGCGTTGCCATTTTCGGCGGAGACGTCTACTGGGTGGATCGAAATCTGGCCACCGTCTTTAAGGCGAGCAAACTGAAGGGCAATACCAGTCTTCCCATTCCCGTCAGAACAAATCTGCAAAAGCTCAGGGACATTGCTATCTTCGACCAAAACAGTCAGCCACCGGATATCACAAATCCTTGCTCGCAGGTAAATATGGATTGAGATATGCGTAATTGTTTATTTAAGAAGGTAAAATTACTTTTCGAAAGGAGCTTAAGACTACGTTTAAAGAAACAACTAACAAAAATAATTTAAAATAACAACGCAAGTAAGAAAAGTAATTTTTATTTCCTCAGACAACGAATGGCGGATGCTCTCAACTATGCTTCGCCTTCCCGAAGGACCATACTAAAACGTTCACCTGTGACTGCGCCGTGGGAAAACTCTCTTCCGACGGTCGCAACTGTGAAAACGTCGAAGAATATCTAGTATTCGCCACGCGAACTGAGATTCGCGCAATTAATATAGATCCGCACAACACTAACGTGCCCTTCGCCCCTGTCGGAAATCTAACGAATGTAGTCGGAGTGGACTTTGATTATCAGGACAAGAAGCTGCTGTTCACGCAGATTCGTCCTTGGGCGAAGATCGCGTGGACGCCGTCAGATCGGCCGTCCTCCTCCGATCTGCACACGCTGATCAGTAAAGGAATTAATCCCGAAGGCATTTCATACGACTGGACTCAGAAGAAGGTATATTGGACGGATTCGTCTAACAATAGCATCTACGCAATGGACATTGACGGGTCTAACTTGGTGATGATTGCCCGCGTGGATCGTCCACGCGCCATCGTCGTCGATCCCTGCAACGGTTCGCTCTACTTCACGGACTGGGGTCGTTTTGGAACATCCGGAAAGATTTTCAAGACGACCATGGCGGGATCGCTGAAACGCGCCATTATCGACAAAGATCTCTCGCAACCCAGTGGTCTAGCGATCGATTACGACGATCGTATGCTATACTGGACCGATGCCGTGCGCGAGAAGATCGAGCGGTCTGATCTCGAAGGGGGGTACAGAGAAGTTCTGGTTAGCGCTACCATCTATCCCTTCGCTATCACCGTCTTCAGAGAGCACATCTATTGGACGGATCTCCAGCTTCGTGGAGTTTACCGAGCGGAGAAGCACACCGGGGCCGACAAGATCGAGCTGGTGAAACGACTGGAGGACTCGCCGCGAGACCTTCACGTCTTCTCCGCGGCTAGACAGCAATGTACCGTTAATCCTTGCAACATCAATAACGGCGGCTGTGACGAATCCTGTCACCCGGGCCACAACGGGTCCGCGGAGTGCAAATGCGGTGATAACAGCAGGCTGGTGAACGAAGACAGAATGTGCGTGCCAAAGAACGTCACTTGCGATGCGAACAAGTTTGCTTGTAGAAACGGCAGATGCATCTCCAGAATGTGGGCTTGCGATGGCGATGATGACTGCGGCGACAGCACCGACGAGGACACCAGTTACTGCTGTGAGTAGCACAAAAATAAAAAAACTAATCAATTCGAATGAAGTATCCCTAAAAATACGATTTTTATGTTTCAGCTTATCACTCGTGCAGCCCGAACGAGTTCCGCTGCAACAACGGCCGATGCATCTTTAAAACATGGAAGTGCGATCACGAAAACGATTGTCGGGACGGCAGCGACGAGGAAGGCTGCGTTTATCCACCGTGCGCGCAAGGAGAATTCACTTGCGCCAACCACCGCTGTATCCCTCAATCTCAAGTGTGCAACGGCATCAATGATTGCAAGGACAATGTTACCTCTGACGAGACGCATGAGCGATGCCCTCGCAACACTACGTGCCCGTTGAATCATCTCAAGTGTGAAAAGACGAACATCTGCGTGGAGCCCTACTGGCTCTGCGACGGCGACAACGATTGCGGCGACAATAGCGATGAGAATCCGATTCATTGCGCTCAGAGGACCTGCCCTCAGAACAGCTTCCGATGTCCCAATCACAGGTAGAGAATTCCGCGTTTGATGAATAATTTTAATAACCGAATACGTTTCCAAAATTGGAAACTTTGGAAATTGTTGTAATAATATCTTATGACCTTGCTGTAAGCCCGATATATTTTCTGAACGCATGCGTATTGTCCAGGTGTATTCCGGCCACTTGGTACTGTGACGGAGACGATGACTGTCTAGACGGAAGCGACGAACCTCCCGGTTACTGCCAGTCCGAAGGTAGGACGTGCTTCGGCGATCTGTTCACGTGCGACAACGGCAACTGCATTCCTAGAATTTACATTTGTGACGGAGACAACGATTGTCTGGATAACTCTGACGAAGACGTGCGTCATCAGTGCAGTAAGTTTTTCAACCATCATACGGAACTTTTATATTTGTAATACTTTACTTCTGTACTTTATCTTTACATTGTTACAATGAAAAACTATTTCCCACCATTTCACGGAGTTAATTTATTTTGATCAGATGACAGAAAGTGCGACGAAGAAACCGAGTTCACTTGCACCGCAAACAAAATGTGGAATCGCGCCCAGTGCATCCCGAAGAAGTGGCTGTGCGACGGGGATCCGGACTGCGTTGACGGGGCCGATGAGAACGTGACTCTGCACCACTGTCCAGCGCCAACCCCTTGCGCCGACAACCAGTTTACGTGCAACAACGGACGGTGCCTGAACCGCAACTGGTTGTGTGATCACGATAACGACTGCGGCGACGGTAGCGACGAGGGCAAGTTCTGTAACATCCAGTATAAGGCTTGCAACAGTCAGGAGTTTACTTGTCAGAACTTCAAGTGCATACGCAAGCAGTTCCGCTGTGACGGCCAGGACGATTGCGGCGATCATTCGGACGAAGTAGGATGTCGTAAGTAGCAGTTAAACAATCACGTACTAAAATACATAAAAAATATAATTAGATTCAACTTGCGCATGAAAAAAAAATGAAAATTTTTAATTTTTTAAATTCAAATATGTATGTGTATCCAATCTTTCTTCTTCCAATCTTTTTCTTAGCGTGACAAAGGTGTTATTGCAAAAACATTAATCTTTTTAGCGTCTAAAGGAAAGAATACGACATGCCCGAATCCGAAGGACTTCATGTGCGCGAACGGCAACTGCATTGACTCGCAGTTGGTGTGCAACAAAGAACCAGACTGCACCGACGAGAGCGACGAGCCGCTGCACTGCAACGTGGACGAGTGCGCCCGTGTCGAGCTGAATCAGTGCGGCCACAAATGCGTGGACACGCCGACCAGCTTCTACTGCGAGTGCAACCCCGGCTACAAACTGCTGGCCGACGGCAAGGCCTGCGACGACATTGACGAGTGCATCGAGACGCCCCAGGTGTGCAGCCAGCAATGCGAGAACACGCCCGGCGGCTACTATTGCAAGTGCAACGAGCGCTGGTACGAGAGGGAGGCCGACGAGCACACGTGCAAGCGAAGGGACAACATTCAGCCGTGGATTATATTCACGAACAAGTATTACGTCAGGAACATGTCGATCGACGCGTCCAACTACAGCCTGATGCATCAGGATCTGATCAACGTCGTTGCGCTTGACGCGGATTACAGCCAGCAGATGCTGTACTTCTGCGACGTCACCGCGAAGACAATATATAGGTACATTTTTTTCTATTTGATGCTATAACATGAAGATAGCTATATCTCTTTTGCTAAAGAGCTCATTTTATTTAAATGTCTTCCTTCTATTTAGAGCACCGGTGAACGGCGGCGAGAAGGAACCAATCATCCGTCACGACAGTCTGGGTCTCGAGGGTATCGCTATAGATTGGGTTGGTCGAAAATTGTATTGGTTGGATCGTCACGCGAAACACTTGGATGTCGCCGAACTTGATGGCACGAACAGGAAGACCTTGCAGAGCGGAATTGCAGACCCACGCGCGATCGCGGTCCATCCCGGTGCCGGATACCTGTACTTTACGTCTTGGAACCTTCAGGTGGATTTCGCATTACAGTTTTTTTTTTGCAAATAATTGTATTTGTAATAATTGTAAACAAAGTTACGAAGGCTTAATCGTGATTTACATTTCAGGCGTATATCGGTAAGATGGGCATGGACGGTAGCAACTTCACTCGAATTCTGACGTGGGAGGACGACATCGCCTGGCCGAACGCCTTGACGATCGATTACTTCACCGATCGGATCTTCTGGGCCGACGCTCATCTGGATTACATCGCCTTCGCCGACCTCGACGGCCACAATCGGCGGATCGTCCTGTCCGGCGCCTCGGTGCCGCACGTGTTCGCCATCACTGTGTTCGATGACTTCATTTACTGGACCGATTGGAATCTAAAGGCGATCAGCAGGGCGGAGAAGTTCTCCGGCGCGCGTCTGCAGGTGCTGCGCAACACCACCCATCGGCCCTACGACATCCACGCCTATCATCCCCTTCGGCAGTTGCCCTACAACAATCCCTGCGCGGAAAACAACGGCGGTTGCTCGCATCTCTGCCTCATTGCGCCGCCCGCCAGCTCGTACTTGCTCGAAGGATATGGTCAGCCTGGGGTCACCTCCTACAAGTGCAAGTGCCCGAATCAGTTCATTCTGGACAAGGATGGCAAGACATGCATAGCGAACTGTACCGCGGGTCAGCATCGTTGCGGACCACCCGACGAGAAGTGCATCCCTTGGTATTGGAGGTGAGACATGTTTAGATTACTACTGTATTTTCTTTTTAATAAATAATTGATGGAGGAATTATGACGAAAATTATACGCAGATGCGACGGAGAGAAGGATTGCAAGGACGGTTCTGACGAGTCGTCGAGTTGCCCGACGAGGATTTGCCGGCCAAGCATGTTCCAATGCGCGAACAAAAATTGTACGCCGAGCGTGACGATTTGCGACGGGATTGACGATTGCGGTGACAAGAGTGACGAAGCTAAGTGCGCGCTCGAATGCGGGGAGCTCGAGTTTAAATGTAAGTCTAACGGCCGCTGCGTGCACGACTCCTGGAAATGCGATGGAGATGCTGATTGTAAAGACGGCAGCGACGAAGATCCTGCCATTTGTCGTAAGTATCACGCTATACATGTCAGATATTTTTTTTTTACTGTTATTAGTACACAACTTTTCTACAGTTTCAATGAATCAAATATATCCTTGCCTTTTATCTGTTTTAATTCGTGAATTCATATTTTTTTTAGACAACCGCGCCTGTGACCCGAGCACCGAGTTTAGCTGCAAGAACGGCAAGTGTATTCCTAAGTTGTGGATGTGCGATTCTGACAACGACTGCGGCGACGATAGCGACGAGCCGGCGTACATGTGTCGGCAAAAGAACTGCACGACCGGGTGGCAGCGATGTCCAGGACACGCGAACTACCGGTGTATCCCGAAGTGGCTGTTCTGCGACGGCAAGGACGATTGCCGCGACGGTTCCGACGAGCGTCCAGAGAACTGTCCCAAGTGCGACCCCAACATGGACTTTAGGTGCGCTAACAACCGCTGCGTGCCGAAGCAGTGGCTGTGTGACTTCGCCGATGATTGCGGGGATGGTAGCGACGAGGCAGACACGATGTGCAAAGACAAGTACCGCCAATGCTCCGAGTCCGAATTCAAGTGCACGAACGGTAAGTGCATTGCGTCTAGATGGAGATGCGACAGCGAGGACGACTGCGGGGACAATAGCGACGAGGAGCAGTGCCATCAGTGGGTGTGCAAGGTACGTATAACAGTCTAGATTTGTTGTAACATTACGATCTCGTATTTTATGCGATCTCTTTACTTGTCGCAGAACGACAGCTTCCAATGCGCGAGCGGTCATTGCATCGCGTCGTATCTTCGTTGCGACGGAGCGCGAGATTGTCGCGACATGAGCGACGAGATCAACTGCCCAGCGAGATACCCTGACGGAAGGTACTGCCCGCAATCGCGATTCCAATGCAACAACAACCTCTGCGTCTCGCTGAACGACATCTGCGACGGCACCGATGACTGCGGTGACAATTCTGACGAGAGTCCCACCATGTGCGGTGAGTTCAGTTGCTGATACTCGGACTCCTTTGTGGACAAGAGTGGGAAGATAAACGTTGCTGTTTCTTTGCGTAGCGAACTTTCAGTGTGACACGCACAGACGGTTCCAGTGCGCCAACCACAAGTGCATCGCCAGGTATCAGTTGTGCGATGGAATCGACAACTGCGGCGACGGTTCCGACGAGAACAATATGACGATGTGTGTGAAGCAGACTCGTCCGTGCGACCCGATAACCGAGTACACCTGTGCGAACAAGAAGTGCATCGACCATCTGAAACTCTGCGATCTCGGGGATGATTGCGGGGATCTGTCGGACGAGTTGGGATGCCGTGAGTTTCATTCCCATATTCTCCGCTCCGTCACGTTCGACGTCTATGTCAGACAGACAACTATGTTGCGTTTTCAGATCACAGTCACCATTGCACGGACAATGACCGCGGCGGTTGCGCACACGAGTGCCACAATCTCGTTGACGGCGGCTACATCTGCACCTGCTATCCCGGTTACATAATCTCACCGGACAACCGGAAGCACTGCGTGGACGTCGACGAGTGCCAAACCGGGGCTCACCAATGCTCTCACATCTGCACGAACTTGAACGGCACGTACGCCTGCTCTTGTCGGCAAGGTTTCCAATTGTCGGACAGACACAGTGGTGTGTGCCGTGCCGAAAAGGATGACGTTGTAGTGCTGTTCGCCAACGGACCCGAACTCCGAGCCTACGATCTGCACAGCAGAGAAGAGATGGACGTGATAGACAACGAGAAGAGGGTGCAGGCTGTCGATTTTGATCCCAAGACGGAATACGTTTTCTGGATTGACTCGTACGACAACACCATTAAGCGGTCGTACATGGTGAACGCCAAAGAAGGCGAAGCGAAAATTGGACACGCGCAGGACCTCAATATGAAGAGTATGTATCATTCAATTTTATTACTGATTAAGTTAGGTTTCACTGAAATAACGTTCTCAGTTTTTGTTTCATTTTAATTCTTCGAAGTTTAGTTTTTTAAGGGCATTCTGCCACTTACTTTTACATCTTTGGAATTTTAAATTCCTAAATATTTACATCGCGTGGAGCAGCCTTCAAAATTCAACGCTTTTTCACAGCCACATAAATGTCTTTCATCAGTTTACGAGATAAGTCACGCGGTATGTTTCACTGATAGTATTAATTTTTACAGCTGACTCGAGGCCAACGAGCTTAGCGGTGGATTGGATCTCCGGTAATTTGTATTGGAGCGAAATTGATCAATCAGGAACCACTCCTCGCGGCCAAATTATGATGTCTAAATCAGACGGCAGGTATCGACGTAGCATAGTTACAACGAATCTCGAACAACCAACAGCAGTGGTCGTGGATCCCGAGCGAGGGGAGGTAGTATGGGCCGATTCGGGTAATCAGCCAAAGATCGAGATAGCCTGGATGGACGGGGCTAGACGCAAATCACTCGTGACCGAACGAATAGCCAGTCCTTCGTCGCTTACCATCGACTACGCTATGGAGCACACGCTTTACTGGTCCGACAGCAAGTTGGATACCATTGAGGCGATCAGTTTGGCCGGTAACAACAGGAGAATCGTTTTGAAAGGCAGACCGCTCAAGAGTCCAATAGCGCTGGATGTTTTCGAGAACAATCTTTATTGGACCACCAAGCAAACGGGTGAACTTATTCGACAGGATAAATTTGGCCGAGGAGTTCCGCAGACCATCGTCAAGAATCTCCCTAGTCCCGGAGGCGTCAAGGTCTATCATCAGCTGAGATACAATACCAGCCTGAGAAATCCATGCCATGACGATCAGTGCACTCATCTGTGCGTAACGATTCCCGGCGGGCACCGTTGTCTATGCTCGGACAGCGTCGGCCTCTTCCAGCGTCTGATGAAGGACGACGAGAGGCATTGCGACGCTACAAACGAAAGGCCTCTCCCAGATCCCCTGATATGTCGCTGCCAGAACGGCGGGCGGTGTCAAGAGTTGGACGACAAGCTGGCGTGTAATTGTCGCGAGGAATTCCATGGCGAATTCTGCGAAACCGCGGCGGTCGCCGCTCGTGCGGGCGGATCCACCGCTGCTATAGTTATTCCCATAGTCATATGCCTGCTGGTGTTGTTCTGTGTCGCCGCGATCTTCATGGTTCTCAAGAAGCGACCATTGTAAGCATGATCAAATTTAAAAATTTTATAGTAATGCAGAATAAAGACAATTTTTTATTAAACTTAACTATATTTATAGTGGCAAGCCCGGTGGCCTCGGCAGTCTCACAGGCGCTCAAAGTGTTTCCTTCCGCCAAGGCAGCAATGTAGAGTTTGGTGCAGAAGCTCACGAGAGAATGGTAAGTGTCCTTTGCTCACCTCGATTTAAAATTGAAAATATATGTATCAGTGCAATAAGTTAATAATAAATTTTACTTACGTCTGTACCTGTTCTCCATCATATGTTTATAGGAACCTCTCGACGTGGAGTATAACTTGAACGATGTTAGCAATAAGAACCGAGACTTCAGTAATCCGATGTACGACGCGGTGAATATGGAGAGCGGCACGACGAACGGCACCGGCACCGGCAGTATGTACGAGATGCCGGCGGAGATGAAGCCCTCCAGCATACAGCACAAGGAGCCGCCGCAGCTGCATCTGAAGAGGAGAGAACTGGACCCGACGCCCATCGACTCGGGGAAGGATACTCAACAGCTGGTCGAGGAGGACAAGTCCGAGTGCTAGGGACTATCATTCCAATTTAGGAATTCCTTTAGATCTGTTGTGCATCGAACTTGAAACAAGCATGGTGGAGATATTTCACGAGTCTGCGAAGAATACATAGGGACACAAACGTAAATTAGTTTACCAGTTTTTACGTAAACAGTGCGGATCACTTCGCAACTGCTCGTGTACGTTATTTATTAAGCTATTCGCCGAGATGTTTTTAACGTGTGACGGATTGATTAAATGTTCTACTTTATCTAGTGATCCGCGGATATGAGAATATCGGGATCTCTGGATTTCTCTGGAGAAAGAGAGGATATAAATTGTTATAGAGAGAGAGAGAGAGAGAAAGAAAGAAAGAGAGTTTTAGACGCATGGGTTTCTATAAAAGTTTCGACAGTAAAATGGATCTTCAGATTTGAAGATCTCTACATTGTGCATTCCTCTTCTCTCTTTTTAATGGATAAAAGAAAATTTAGGGATGGATCCTCGGATATTTTTGACGAAAGAGATATTGCGTAGTAAATCATAAGTCTACAACTTCGCGTGTCCTTGTATCTAAGAGCCTCGATGTGTTTAGGTTTTCAATTTTCCGCATCCTCCAGACCTATGAGAATCTCTGACCACGGATTCTCATAAATCTCCAGATTCCTCGAGCCAGGAATTGTGAACTGGCTTTAGGATCTTGAAATTTCGGAGAGTAACGGCACGGCCGTCAGACGAATCGATAGCATCGATTTCACGGGGGGAGAATAGGGCGAGAGCGAATTGCAATAGGCACTGACTGTGTCATTTTTTACTAGGTGTGTGATTTGTAAGTCTTGTAAATATAATTGCTAACAAAGTATAATGTTCATGTTATCCGTGTACCATAAAAGACGCAACACATTCCATTCTTTCTCGAGGTTGCTGCTTGAAGTGTTAACGATAACGCGGGACACTTCCAATAGCTAGGATGTGTATGTATATGTGTGTGTATGCGTGCACGTGCGCGTGGTGCTCGAATTGGTACGCTTGATCCTTAAACAATCCTTCGGAACATCTGCCATGACATCTCCGTGCGATTTTTAATTATTTTACAACTTGTAATGAAAAACGGCGAAATTATGCTGCGAAAGAGAACAATTTATTACCATTTTACACTTTTGGGGACTCGATAAAACTTGTAAAATTTGATAACTTCAGTAATTCAAACATGTCTTGCTTGTTTTTTACTGTACAATTTGAGCACTTAGTGCACGCGTGAAATTTATTCTCAACTACAACATGGACGGGATCAAATTTAACTTCGATAGAGATTTATAAAGCTCAAAGGTATTGACTAGTACCTTTTATTATTTAGCTTAATTCAATATCCCCATTATGTTTTTTTCCCTTTGTGTATTATAAAATATAAAGCGATGAGAGATCTAATATTACCTCTATAACAGCCGATGACTTTGATGAAAGTTCAATGGCGAATAATGTTCTCGGGGTTGAAAATGATCCCGCTACAGCAGTCACGAAACTGAGCTACAGTAGTTGAGCGTCAATGATGCACGTACGTCCGTTCAAAAAGCTGTATTCTTAGCGGAGTATTTTTGTAAGGCGTGGCGTTATATAGTTTTTCATGTTGAAAAGTGGCCTTTTCCTTGTTACGATAAGTAGAGGCGCGCGAGCTCAGGAGGAGCGAGATATAGATGTTTTCACACATGAGCGTTATTAAATGTTATTCTTGTGAATGTTATTACAGAGCACAATCGATTTTTACGAACAGAAAGAAACATCCCTTGCGCGGTGAACATTGTGCTTTCGCAAGGAACATTCGCCCGGCCGACCATCATTGTACATTTTTTCTAGATTATGTGAGGTACTCCTCCTGCAAAAGATGGCTGAATTAAAAGGAATCGACGAGAATTTATTCTGCAAGATTAACTGCCTAAGCTTCGAAATCAGAGATTTATTTCGACAGTTTTGCATACCTTCCTATTTCTTTCCACTTGTTCCCAACACTGAACAGAGTTAGCACTGTTTAGCGTTTTCTTATAACGATACTGTATCTTTCGTAAAAATGGCGAACGACAAACAAAACCAAAATAATCTCCATGTATTTCAATCTGCATTAAAATATTAATTTTTTTAAATTCTTGATTAATGGACGACATAATTGAGCTAATTGCTAGTATCAATTATTTCAAGTCTCAATGAACGTCTGTTAATTCCTTTTAATGTATACATTTTTTGCAGGGTCAGTAAGCGTAATTCTTCTTCTTCCGCAGAAACTATGATTACAATATCCTTGTATACTGATAATTTATTGCAACAACTTTCAAGTCCTACGAGAGAAAAATAAATTCCTTAAATTAAATCCTTAGGACTTATAATTTCTTTCATCTCGACAACATTATAGTTTCGAAATAAGATGTCCTTTAATTCTGTAAATATTAGATAGAATTTAAAACGTGTAGATTCTGAAGAGAGAGAAGAGACGCTCTCGGAAAAAATAATTAATCAAGAATACAAGGATATATATTTAATTTATATCTCGGTAAAGAGATATTGAGGGATCAACGTAAGCACGTTGTACATATACACGTTTCGCGAGAACTAAGGAAGAGAATTATCAACGCTGACCCACCCTCCACACAGATTATTATACATAAAAGAGTATATAAATAAATAAATAAATATATATATTTTTCTGTTGCAATCGACTTTGACCTGGGCAGGGCTCCAGAGTGTCCTAAATATTACGATGTATCAGTATTTTGTGTATTTTTTTATCGAGTTGACAGAACAACAATTGTTAATATATTGTGCAAAAATCGAACAGATACCGTCCAAGAATAAATTGTAAAATTGACAATCCAGTTTTCCCTATGCTCATGCAATATATATATCAAATGCACATATGCGTCGCACCCTTCGTGCCCGACTACGGCGTAAATTGATTTTCTTATGCAATCCATTAGGAAAACATATCCATTCCTTTCCTACTTTCACATAATTTCTATTCCGCTGATATCTTCCCTCGACTTATTTTGATTATAATTTCGGTATTTTATTCGATATATATATATATATACACGTTTAAATTGACTCCATTTCCAATTAATTGTGATTTAACTGCTATTTATTTTTACATTAAAAATTTAGGATGTTATTTCTTTTACGTCGATCATTCTTGTTTTTGTGAATTTGGATTCTTTAAAATTTAACATATAAGAAGGAACTGCAAAATAACTGGTATGTGTACAACTTTTATGTGCTGGGAATAAGGAAGAATAAATACACTTTTGACTAACTTCTCTGTTATTATGTAATTTTATAAAAAGACATGCCAATAGAGAAATTATTGGACGACGATAAGAAGAATAAATGCGGCAATTTCAAGGGGGTTGAAGTTGAAAACTAGATGGAATTTTTGGAAGTCATATATTAATCGCTGTTTGATATACAATATACACGATTTTTAAGATAATTTTTATCAATCATTTTACACATTTATATAAAACGATCTTCAACAAGCATGGGCACGTGTAAGTTTTAATCAATAATGGCTTTAAGAGATTAAGACGGAGTCCCGTTACACAATATGCGTTAATAATTATTATTATAATAACTGATTTGATACAAATAACAGCAATAATTGGATATATTAATAATTTAAATAATATTGAATATATTAATAATTACCAGCACAACGATCCATGTCGAGAGCGTGGTCCGTAATCGGTAGAGCCGTTCGCTCCAGAACCTATGTCAGCAGCCCGTCCCTTGTTGGAATTCCAAAGTCGAGCATGCTCTTTCGCATAGACAAAGGTGGCTTCAAGGTATTTCAATTAAAAAATTATCCAAAATTCGGCAAAATAAAAGAAATTTTGCACAGTAACTTAAAATATTTATAACCCCAAAAATGATTCTTGAAATAAAAATAATGTAGGGAAGATGTGAACGCGATATGTACTCATAGTTTATTTAAAATGACTTTATTAATTACAGAGGTAGAATGGATTACATAATATATGTGATAACTTAAATTGAGACGTCAATAAAAATTATCTTCCAGATCCCGAGGTACCAAAATACTTACCGTCTGGAGGCTTACAAGCCCTTCAAGTGTGAGATTGTTGATAAAATCTTGATCGACGTGATGCGGGATTATTTAGTCGGCTTGAAATATCAACCTCAGGTTTGCATGCAAATCTGCCAGAGAATGTCGGAAGAAGTGCGCGACAAAATTTTCAGGAAGTACTATGATCGGTAATAATATCGATAATTACGCCAAATCACGTATAGTAATCATCTTGAACACTTACATATAAATGTATTTTCCAATGTGTAAATTTAATTAAATACTTTATCTGATGCAACCTTGAATTAAATAGATTTAGAATAATTAGTAATTATATATTTTGACCGTCTAATAACGTATTTTAATTTTATAAGTGTGTGAAGAGTAAGAAGTATAAAATGTTTATTTTTTCACGTCGCTAGTAAAGAATACACTTTTTATCCGAGCAACTTATCGTTGCTTTCAGATACAAAGTTGTGGTCATCATGTCGATCGTCCAAAAGCTAGGACAAAGCGTACGGATGGATTTTGGCAAATTATGGGACGTTCAGAGAGACACGTACTCCACCCATGTGGTCGAGACTGCGGAATTTGTCGCGACGGGCCTCGTCGTGGGAACTTATTACGAATGAACGAGTATTTAAAAAAATTGACGAAGAAATTTTGTGACGATGATCAGCAACCAAGCCCTGGCACACAATTTAATTCTGAATTAAACAGAAATAAAGAGCGTTTTTTCAGACAAAGTTTTAGAAAAGAAAGAGTATAGATAAAATTAATCAAAAACGGATTAATGGAAAAATGTACCGTACTCTCTCACAATATTTAAACTCAATCGAATGTTCGTCAATGTTATGCTTGAAGAAAAGATCATTGATCCACAAACACACACACACATGCACACACACAAATCAGATCACGTGTGTTTCACGTTTTTCTTTATTGTTATTAAATTAATATATATATCATTCGTATATATATATTTATATATTTATATATATTTATATATTTATATATTTATATGTGTATGTATATAACAGCGACAAGTACAATGTAATGTTATGATTATTAATAATAATCGAAGGGCACCGATGATTATAGATGAGAAACCGAGCAAGATAATTATTTGTAATGATATTAACAGTGGCAACCATAATAATGATGATAATGGTGGTGATTTAATAATAATAATAAGTTGATCAATCTTTAATTAATACAGTCGTATATTCCCTTAAAGTCCGTTTCTTAATACTTATATCGCGCTTTTATAGATACAGGGATACAGAAAAATAATACCGCGCGGCCGTGGTGGAATGTTCTTTTTTTTTAAGTCGTATATAATATACATATATATATGTATAATATTTATATAAAAGAGGCGCGAGAGCCTTAATTAATTAATTACAAGCCAGCGCCGCCGCGCCGGCGCCCCGTATGATTTACACCGCGAAAATTAAGCTAATTTTGAGAGAAAGACCGACAAAAGTTCACTCTGCGCAATCGAATCGTCAATTTTCGAAATTACAGTTCGACACGAACGTACAACGCGAAACTTCTTGTGCTTCACACGTGTGCCAAAACACGAGTTTCCTCACAATTTTGTAAACATTCTAAAATTATGAAGTTTGTTTCGTACTCTCAATTATAATCTCGTAATTTGCATTGCTTTCGCCGTCTGTATTCATATAGAAATATTCACGAAAATAGAAGGAATTCGAAGGCATTTTTTCATTTCAACCGACTGCACTTAAACTGAATGACTGCATCGCTTTAATAACAAAAGCACCGCACGAAAAAACAGCCCCAATTCTCGAAATGGACAGTGCCAGACCAACCGTTGTCCCGTAAATCGAAATACAGAATACGAAACGGTAAAAAATTACTGCCACAAAAAAATGTTACGTTAGTCAACTCCAACGGAACGGCGAAAAATGTTTACACAAAAGGGGTCTCTCTGATTTTTAGCCGATTTCTTGACTTCGAAAACCAAGATTCTCATTTCGCAGAAGAGAATATCCGTGAATTCCCCCTCCGAATTCGCCTACCTTTCGCGGTGGTTCCTCCGTAATAATTAGGATTAATTGTAACTTTACTTACAATCCTACCTGCCGATCAATTTTACACGCACGAGCTGCACTATGTAGATCCTTGGTCCATTTTTGACGCATACGTTTATTTACAAGGGCGGTGATTCGCCGCATCGCAAAAATTACAAGTCAACCGCGCGATCGAGGATCTGTGGATTTTACCGAGATAATTATCTTTTTACAAAGTAAAAAAATATAAATTATAAATAAAATAATAAACACATAATACATAGTATAATGTTATATAAATGTAGAAACACATTTTCTCCGTAATAAAAAGTGATAATATTGAAAATAATATCAAAGCCTTTTTTTAATAATTATACGCAAATTATCGCAATATGTAAGACAAGCGTGAGATTTTTCTTAAATTAAAACGGAATGTCTGATCTAAATAGAAAGAATAGATACGTAAGACAAATCTATTTCCAAAAATATTTTAGCTCGTCAATTTTTTTGATACCAAACATTTACAATTGCTTTCTCGGATAAATAAAATTTTATCTATTATTATATACAAAGGCCAATCTTCCATCGGCATCACCATATGTCTTTTGAATCTCCAACTTTCTTGGAACCAAGTCAGGATCCAATTAAAAAAAAGGTTGAAAGCAACATGATTCTATTAGTCAAAATTCCCATTCTTACTTGCTCATGATTAAAAGATTATTAAGACTCTATTGAATTATTATTATTAAATTCTTTAAAGATGCCGTTTTTCTTAAAAAAAATTTGACTTTTATAGAGATATCGTGCAACTCTTGAGACATCCCATATAATGAATTCCATTCGAAACTTTCTCGTCTCGTACAGCCATAAAAAATATAAAATTAATTATGTAAAAAGTTTGGTTCGATCGCGCAATTTGCTCGTGATTTTTGGCTCCTACAACAACCATAATCGGGGATGAAACTACCCTTTTTCTTCCCTCATTCTCTCTCTTTCCCTCCGTTCTCCTCTCTCGCCCCCGCGAGGGAAGGCGAGACATTCCACCTCGCCGTGATCGGTATGGAATTATCGAAAGTTCTCAATTTATTTATCTCCATCGTGTGGGTACGTGTACGTGTATATACGATTGTTTCACATGTCCATGTACTTTTGTGTATACCGTGTGTATGTGTGTATGTGTCTGTTGCATGCTATTATCTGTATATAACACATTTACAATAATAACAATACGTTGCTCGTCATCGACGATCCACCTTAACTCGCGCGTATGCGGTATACGCTTATATATTTATAATATTTATATATATAATCCGAAAAAAAGTTTAATAGGGTGGTGGGCCACCCCGACACACGCACGCACGCGCGCGCGCACACGTATAACACACATACACACGCACAGAACACACATACAACTTTCTCTCCGTCCCATTCTCTCCCCGTTCCTTCGTGCGATCATCGAGTCGTATATCACAAAGTTTCCAAATGCATAGTTTGGATTAAATGCGAGCAATAGCAATGACAATCATGATAACTGGTATGATGACACCTGCAAATGACGTCAAGTTACGTTTTGCATTCCGCATACGTGTTACGCTAATGTAATTGTCCGGCGAATGCGGATGTTGCACAGTCCTTTCAATTGCTTTGAAAAAAAAGAAGTACAAAGGCTTACGAGGCTGAAAGAACTTAAAAATAACTAGCACATATTGTATAGAAATATTACGTGGAAGAAGGTAAACGTGTGTGTGAGAAATCTTTTTTTCTTTCCTAACAATCTCAGCAAATGTTCTTTCATCTCTTGCATTTTAGTATCTTTCCGTTCGATACACTATTTCCTCGAAATTCTTTTGTCATTTTAAACCAATACCGAGTGACGAATCGTAGAGTACTCGAACTGATCGTAATCGTCGTAGCTGCAAGCGTGATTTCGCAGATCTGTGCGAAATTAATATCGGGGACAATTTCTACAATAAAATGGAATACACGCGCGTATATGTACACATGGCGATGAACGGAATAAAATAGGGATTGAAACCGGAAACGATTTTCCGCGCTACGCTACGCGTAGAAATAGAGAAACGGCACTCTTCCCATTGTTACGAAAATGCTTGTAACATCCGATCCCTTTTCGCTCCCTCGCCCCGCTAAAGGGTTACACGGTTTCAATCCCCTGAACAAAATCGTCAAATCATCTCGCGCGAATGCCTCGCGTACCTATATCTGTCTCTTCCACACCGCCTCTTCTATTCCCTCACGCTCCCTCACGATCGCAAAATGTATATTTACAGACTTCGGAAATTGATCAAGAATTCTGATATTCGCGCCTTCCTCTCATTTATTTCTCTCTCTCTCTCTCTCTCTCTCTCTCTTTCTCTCACTCTCTCTCACGTCGTTATAAAAAATTGATTCGTTTCGCCTTAAATCGTTAACACTTTCCTTCCGCCTCCTCTGCCTCGGACCTCCCCTTCCCTCCTATCCTCGATGAGGAGTCAATCATCTGGATACCAACCGGGCGTCGCAATTATTCTTCGCTATATTGCGTGTACACTCCATGTTTTGTTGTACACTATTTCGTGATATTCGACATTAAAGCGTAATGTAAAATTCGGTTTTATTTTAAAGTATATTAAAGTCTCTCGCATATTGCAATGAAACATTTAAAAACAATTGCGCTTTAACATAAATCTCGATGTTGAAACATTGCATAAGATTACATTTGGTTGTTATTATAAAATCTCATTATTATATTACAGTAAATTAACAGAATCATTTTATCCAGGAAATTAACAAATCAGATATATTTATGTCAAAGAGTGTAATCCTGTTAATAATAATTATATAAAATCAATTATGTTATTATTAAAATTAAAACATAGTGATTAAAATTTGACAAATTTTATGTCATGTTTTGATATTAATTCCGGATAATATCTTCTTTTTAAAATAATTATATTTAACAGCAAATTATGTATTTTATGATTTGTAAAATCTGCATATATTGTTCGGATTCAATAGCACTTGATATAAAAACCCATCGGATTCGTTAAAATACTGATACATATCTATATGTGTAAAAACAAAACGATCCTTTTAATCTTTTGAAATTTTGTTTTATATGGCTCATAATATTTTATGTCGAAAATTATAAAGCATTTATCTAAAACGTCTGTCTGTATTTCCAATAACATTAAAGACAACACGAAGTGATTTTGATAAGAAAAGTATGTGTACATACAAGTTCCATAAAACTGGCGGATGTTTCGCATGAGCGTGCGATCGACTGGTATCCAGATAGCGAACATCCACCGATCGTCCCTGCAGGAAGGCTCGCGGCCATCGTCATTACGGCCGTCGCGGTGCTACGAAAAATATCTCCAAGGTCAAGCCATCACAGACAATAGTTCCGGATGTCGGAGGTGCGGGGGACTATATCGTGCAGAGACGAAAGACGTGCGCACTTTCAAGGTTCTCCCTAAAGTTAGCTTACAAGATCGCCCTTACAATGGTAACAAGACTCGATCCTATTTACATTTCTGGCTCTCCTCCGCCTCTCCGTTTAATCCTATTAACACCTCGAGAAACGGTGGATGCTAACCGCGCCGAACTCCGCGGGGACCCGGAGATGATCCGTGGAGCATCCGTCCGTCATCGTCTCGCGATGCATTTATTTACACCCCGTTCGGCGATTCAGAGTCCTTGGGCTCCCTCAAGGCCCGCTGGGCCCCGGCCAGCTCACGTCGGGAGCCACTCACTACGCTGAGACTTAATAATGTTAAGGCATCGTCGTGCGTCGACGAACACGAGTTCCTTCTCTAACGTTCGTTGGCAGTAGCGAAAAAATGTCGGTCGGGATCCATCACCTTCACCCGCTCGATCCAGGCACTATCAAACCCCCATGTCCCCCGAACGCACCGTGATATCACTCTTACGAATAACGCGAACACGATCGAAAAATGATCGTTGGATTTCTCAAAGTTCGAAAAACTCGGAAACTTTGATGGTGGAACTTTTGCAGTTTGCGAAATTTCAGAAGCTCGGTGATTCGAATAGTGTCGTCGTGGAAGCGCGGTCGTTAAGTAATAAGATTATTTTCAAAGTTTGCGTTCTGCAAATCTTGCGACTGTAATAACGCAAATCTGATGGTTCTCGAAGCTCGATGAGATCGTTAAATGTCGATTGAAGGCCAAAGAAACGCTTATTTTCATTCTTCCTTCAGTTTTATCGGAAAGACAAGAAATTATCCTTCTATCTTTTTAGTTCCTTTTTAAAAATTGAAGATTTCTTTTCCGTAATGAGATCTCTTCCCTTTTCTCTGTGACTACAGTAAAGAAAAACATTTTTTGGTCTTCTTTCACAGTTTCTTTTTAACTTAAGAAACAACTTCCTTTTCAAGTTTTTCTTCCAGCTAGAATGAAGAAAAATATTTATTGATCTTTTCTTTCACTTCTATCAAGGAATTAAAAAAAATTTATTACATTTAAACCTCTTCCAAAATTTTGCGTTTAATTTTGTCAAAAAAATTAAAAAATCTTCCGTCTTTCTTTAATGATTCGCGAAATCTTCCTTCTGATTGTTTTTAGACAACTTTCTTCAGCTTCGTACAGTTAAGCCTTTCGAGCTATGGTTATCCTTCAAGCGAAAAAGTCTTTTTCCTTTATTCAGCTCCGACCGATCTTGCGGCTTCAGACACATCTTTGGGAGTCGACGAGGAGCGTCGTCAGAACGAGCGCGGCGAACGGTAATGGCGTATTGCAGTGATGCGCGCGATGATGAGGAGCGTGAGGTCGGGGGCCGAGCGGAACAATTTCGCGCTCGACTGTGAACCGCGGCCCCGTGTGTCATACCGCTTGCTCCTCTCGCTTGAAATTGATGTTCTGGGAGGCGCAAAAGTCGCGGGTGAACGGCACGCAGTTGAACAGTTTGCACACCTCACACTCGTACACCGGTACGTTGTAGAAGAGGGCGAGCAGCAGGGCGAACAGGCCCACGATCAGGATCAGGCAGACCCAGATCAGCAGGATCTTCCGTCTACGGTCGTAATGGCCAAACGAGATGAACGGCATCAGCGCGTAGGCCGCCAAGAAGCCGAAGATAAAGCCGAACAGATGCGCGTAGTTGTCTATCCATGGCAGGATACCTAGCGTCAGCAGCCCCAGCAGGATCAGAATCAGCTTGGACAGTGCGCGACGTGGGTGCTTCAGCATCGGCCAGCAATGCAGCACTTCGACCACCAGCGTGGCAAGCAAAGCGAAATGCGCGCCGGCTGGACCGACCTGTAATCAAGTGGCGACAATTGTTGTCGATGTACATATCCAAAAGCTTCAACGAGCGTGATAGATTAAAAGAATTTTTGTTTTTTGTATATACAATAAAAAAAGAGAAATGAGATTTTTTAGCAATATCTTAATATTAGACAGACAATTGTCTATAAATATTATTAATCTCGATTAATCTTGATAGCCAGTAAATACTGATAACATATTATTTAATCAATAAATTACTAAATATAGATAACTTTCCTTTTAATATAAACAAAATTTTGTATTCTTACAAGAGAATAAAATAACTTATAATTTCATCATTTTACCAATCTTATTGTTTAGCATAATTTATGATGAGTTTGACACAATTATATCTAAAGTATTATTAACAAAATACGGTTTAAGTACTTACTTCTGCTCTATAAGGTACAAAGATTGCGCTGGCCAAATTCCCAGCAAGAGCCCCGATAAAGTAGATTAAAGCGATGCGCAACGAGCCTGCCAGTTTTTCCAAATCTCTCATCAGAAAATATTGGATCAGCAACGTAATTATCAAGTGGATGATTCTGAAAAATCGATTTATTGGAATAAACATATAAATCACAAGTTTATTTCTTTGAAATTAATTCACTCAAACTAATCGATTGGCTCTTTATTTTATTAAGTTTCAATAAAAATAAATAAATAGCTTTGTTTTTTTTTTATTACATTTAACGGCAAATTGATTTTGTTTATTGGGATCCATTTATTGAAATAAACTGTTTTCAAAAATTTTTCTTTTTAAATTAATTTACAATTAGTGAGATAAATAAATGTATTTTGCTTCTTCAAGACTTAATAAGATGAAAAAATCGATCTTTTGTTTGTCGTGAGCTATTACCCGGCATGAAGAAAGATGGTGGTGAAAAGTCTATAGAACTGGTCCGGCCATTCCGGATGCAGGAACGGTATCATCCCGCAGACGTCGTGCAAACACTCCACCTGGGAGCACAGGGATGCCTCCTCGTGAAAATAACCATGGACGAAATCGCAGTACTCCTTCGTGGTGATCCGACACATCCCGTGAATCCCGATGCAACACGGATGGCCGATCACCTCGCACACCATGTGCTCCGCCATCTTATCCTTGTAGCGGCCGATGGGAAAGTTGGCGTTGCCCCGTTGACCCCCGTTTTTACTGTCAAGAATCAATATTTCGATGTATTTCTTTTTTATAACCATTTTAATCTTCGTGAATTACAATATATTTATTTTCACAAGCTCATTTCCGCAAATAGCTCTGCTTTTTCGCGTAGGGGTATTCTGTTATTTGCCCTTTAGAGAAATCGTGAATAAAATTACGGGGTAGAACTCACCTGAAACGTTGGCTAAAAGGATTGGTTTTCCGACAGATCGGCCACTTGGTGATGTCGTCTGGCCATTCGTAAGGTGCGATACTCGCCGGGGCGTCGCAGAACTTTGGGTCCAGTCCGCAAACTGACCCACTGATGCGACCGCCGGGCCCGCTGTCTCCGGGTCCCCATTTCTTCCAGGTCGATATTGTATTCTGCGAGATTCAACACAATCGTAATTGATTTCGTTGTCAGCGAGGATTGATTTTTGAGACTTTAAAATATCATTGGATATTTCCCAATCTCTTGGATCAAAACATGCATAAATTAACACGTAATTAAATTAATAACAGAAGTCGTGGTGCGTAATTTATTAGCAAAATAAATTATGTAGCAAAAACTAACACCTTAAAACTTTTCTGTTTCATTAAAAATGGGGACAAATTACATTCGTACGTTGACTAATAAAAAGAGAAAGCATTTGTGTTTATGTCAGAAAAGTTTCAAAATCAAATAATGAAAAATTGTGACGAGCTGACAATGTGCAATAAATTGAAAACATATCCCACACAGCACACTTTATCTGAGGGACGTCCTACAGATAAAGTGGGATATCTCAATAACCGGTGGATATCCAGCGGATATTAAATATCCACTGGATATCCAGCGGATGCATAAATGTCCCTCAAAATATCCTGTGCTGTGTGGGATATTCTCTTTCCTTCTTTTCGCTAGGTGCTTTTTCGGGGGCTAAGGAATCGAAGTAAAAGTTAACGATAATTTACCATAGCAGTGGATCTCAATCCCCGGACCTGTTGGGCGCGCATGGAAGAAAATTTTATTATCACAAACATACACGTCCGTGAAGAGCCAACGGTATGTTACAAAGTGTTATCTCGAAATAATATCGGGGAAACTTACGGAACAGTCTGCTTTGCTGGACTGAACGCAGCCGGAATCGTCATTCCTGATGCAACAGGCAGTATCCCGTTCTCTTTCCCGCCACACGTCGATCTCCTTCAGGATCTTGATGTCCCGGCGCATACACGGCGCGAACTTGGCCCCGAGGTGGATCAAATCTGCAGCCCTAGGGCCCAGCCAAAAGTTCGCCGGTTCCTGGTAGTCGACTTGTTGCAACGACAGACTCGTTACGAGAACCTGGGCACAATTCAATCCACATTTTTCCAATCGTCCTTACATTTTTCATTAAAAAAAAAAAAAAAAACAGCGACTAGCATTTAAATAAAGCTCGAAATATTTTAAACAAGCGTAAATTTCAGTACATATTTAAAAGGAAACAAAGACTAAAAGTATCGTTGTAGCTTAAAGTGATCATTCACTTCTTATTGCTCCAAACAAGGCTTGAGTGGACTCAACACAATTTGCTTTAATACAGCATAGCTAAAATAAGGAAAGTTTTATCTTCTGCGCATAAAGCGTTTGAATTTATTCTCAACGAGATTAGTTTTCCAATAAGATTGACGAAATGCCAAGCGAAGTTTCTAAGAAGTGACCGACCGTCGTAAATAACTGTAGCCGACAGACAGCGAATTTCTATTTGCTCACCAATCCCGATCGATGCTTGAGATCCATCCCGACAGGACCGAATCCGTAACAGGCCAGCGATATTATCAGAATCAATACTTGCACAGTAGTGATCCAGTACGTGAAATACGGCCGGTGATCCTCGAAATTGTCCAACTGCTTCTTTATGTCCGGTTTGTGCGCGACGCTTTTCCGAAAAGATCGCCTGGAATAACGAGGAAAAAAAACTTTAATACCTCACCGAGCTCTCGTTCCCTTTAGTACGTTTCGTTTGCTCTAATCTCGATTTTGTCAATAGACAAAAGGCTTTCTATACTATTCTATAATAATGGTACCCGCAATACGCGACATATATGTTCTGATAATATTGCAAATATATCCTAGCCAGTAATGGTCGATTAGTCGACGTCGATTCAATTAATTATTTCTGACAGGAATAGTATTAATATAATATTGTGTGAAATAATTATAAAAAATTGTACACGTAGATATATAACAAAAATATACGAATTACACGTATAACAGGCATTATGTAAAAAGTATAATAATGCCATTTAATTTAATTCAAAGGAAAAGGTAATTAATAAAATTCACTTTAAATATTCCCTTTTGTTTGCTATAATCTCGATTTTGTCAATAGACAAACCGTTTTCTCTATAATAATAATACCCACAATACGCGATATGTTCCGATAATAAATTTTACCTCGAATATTCCAGCCAGAAATAATTAGTCGCCATCGATTCAACTAATCATTTCTGGCGCTGGAACAATATTAATATAATATTGTACGAAATAATATATGTATATATATATTTAAAAATATATTAACTATATGTATATTATATGTAAAAATTATCATAACAACATTAAATTTATTTTAGAGGAAAACTGTACGGTAGATTGATAAGTTCATTTTTAATATTCCGTCTAAAATATACCTTATAAAAATTACACGAACTTCAACTGTCTTTCGCTGAAGGCAGATCATCTTGTACAGTCAGTTAATTGATTTTCAATTAAGACAGTCTAGCTCTCGCATAAATGTAATTTATTTCAGGCCTCGCAACCAACAAGGAATAAAATATGAATAATATACCCGAAGAAACGACCGACAATGCCCATCCCGTATCGCCGCCGATTGCTGTTGTCGAATACACGATCGATCGTGCCACGGGAGATCCTCGTGGTCCCGGCTATCTCCCGGCTGCGGAGAGTCACCCCTTCCTCTTGCGGCACCCTCGTACCCTCCGCCGGAGGCGCGTCGTACTTCGACCTGCTCCAACTTGTTTTTCTGTAATTTCTTTCTCGTTGTACATGTTTGCGCGTTTGTCGATCAACGATAAGTCCACTTTGCTTTTATCCGAGTATACAAAACAGGTTCTTACGATCATCTAAGTCGTATGTGGTCCTTGCAATTTACAAATGGCGCAATGGCTCTTGGATTGCGAGAATTCAAAAGCAAAGGAGCTTTTATAAATCAAGTTCGAAGCTTGATAATACGCAAGGATCTTGTCTTTCATTTAATTCACATGCAATTGATCCTCGATTCATCTCCGCGAGATGAGTCAAGACATTTATGGGAGACCATTATTTCCGATTTATTAAATTAATCATTAAAAAATATGGTATTTGAATTATTTTTTAAATCATTAACATAAAATGCTATTTATTAGCTTTATAGGTTGATGGCTCAACACTTTAAATTATTAGGACTGTGATATTTGACTTTCTATTAGGAAGAGCTTAATTGGGAATTAGAATTCTCACCTGGAAATATAATGGTCCCTCGGGATCGAACGGGGTCGTCTGACTTGTCCGTCGATCGTCGTCCTGTCATCCTTTTGCTGTGCGAACCTGCAGGGAAAGAGCACCCAATGTCTCGCTGTCCGAAGATTAAAGAAAAACATATGTACATCTAAAATCTAAACGACTCTGATTTTTCACCCCAAAAACTTGCAAAAGGGTAGAAGAATTTTAAAATTACGACGTTTCTTTGTAATTATTTTAATATATCCCCGAAATCCCTAATTCTACAAAACCTACCCAACTAACTCCTCGGTACTGATCCCCTCGCGATCCTGCGTAGAGTCGAGAACATCTGTTTTCTTAGCGCCGACCTCTTCGTCCTTGACCAGTCCGCTGGAGGCCTGATCGATTTGCGTCTGCGACTGCTGAGATGACGGCGGGAGCGGAAGGGGCGGCGGTGGCGGCGGGGGTCTCTCAAAGAAGGCCTCGTCCTCGTCCTGGCCGCTGTCGGGGTCTGTCCTCGACAGGTACGCGATCGTGCTCGGCGGGAAGCTGCGCGACTCCGGACGTGATTGCGAGCGCTCGCGAGGACGCTGCCTTGTCAACGACTGTCAACACACAATGGTGCTTCCATTAAATAGGATCACGATATTTGTATTCCTGAAAATTGAATACCTTTGCCAAAAGTACATATATACCAATTTTCATATGCTTTTTATTTATATAAAAAGTTTTTCGCGAATAAAGACTAAATAGTTTCTAAAGATGAGATATAAGCAATAGGCAAGAAAATAGAAAAAGGTAAATTCGATCGACAAAACTCGGGCGCCTCTACACTGTTATTAAATATTAAATTGTTTTTAACCACCATGTGTGTCAAAATTTATTATTTTAACACAAAACCGTATTATTTTAACTTCATTGATTCGATTTAGTTAAATTAACGACGTATCGAGAGTAAGAATAGTGGCGACCTACAAAAATGGTTAAAAATGATTCAAACTGCGTACACGGAGAGAATTTTTTGTTATATTTTACCCTTAAATTCACTACAAACTTGAGACAACTTGGTAACCAAGGAATTTTTAAAATATACAAAAGACATTTTACAAACAACGTGATAAAAATTGCCAAGCAAATTGATAAATTTTGAAAAATTATTGAAATTTCCTAGATATATTTTAGTAAAATTAATCAAACATATTTTATATTTTAATGTAATAGATATTAATATTTTTTATTATGGTAGATATTAATCAGAATAGATCGCATAAAATTCTTGGTGGTACATGTTGTCCCACAACTACCATGATTTTAGGGTAAATTTTAAGAGAAAATTCTCTCCGTGTATAATTCGACACTAAGAATTTAACAGTGTGTCCGACACTAAAGAAACGATCTCCGCTATCCCAATTTCATAATTAACAAGTCTGTTTTCTCGAACGTTGAAAGATTTAACAAGGAGATCGGGGCACGCGAGCTGTCTTACGGGAACGTTTGGAAAAGCAAAAGCGTTACAAATCGATGTCCAAAGTTTCGCGGCAATCGCTAACTGCGCTACATCCCCAGTTACAGTCCCGATACCGCTAATAAACTGTCAGAGCTGTCGAAAGCACACTCTCTCACGCGCGGCCGCTGCGCCGCGCCGTCCGATCGGTCGTCCACTCGCTGGCACCTACTACTGCCGGTCAGTAGTAAGTGCAAACCAGTCGGCAGCCGCCGCGTGTCTGACCATGCATTTGCCGTCATCCCTTCGAAACTTCGTAAAACTAGCAGCATTAAACGGCAGTTTAAGTTCGCAACTTCCGCCGATATTGTTTCGGCCATGTCCTCCGACTAACGAGACGATGTCTTTGTTAAGCGAATCTGCGCGTATATACACGGTGTCGCAGAGTAAACCGATAAAATTTCATCAACAAAACCGACCCTTCCTTGAAATCTTCCCGAAAACGTAACGATTTGTCGTAATTTTCTACGTTTTAATAAATTATATAATTGTATTATATATAACGTATTCTGTAAATAGAAATTTTAAGAATATTCCGAAATGTTCAAAGAAACTGGACAACGAGACGGAATATTTCAGATTACTGCGGGACCTTTTTATAATTTTTTTTAATCGATTCTATCTCAAAGCGATAATGAAAGATCGAGGACTTTCAATTTTCCAGAACGGCCTGGCGCATTTTTCAAAATACGCCGTTCAATTGCGCGTGGACGACGATTAACAGCCGAGAACCGAGTGTCGCGACAGTACAAAATCCGATCGGCGGGGCTCGATACGAAGCAATAACAGGAGTGAATGTTAATTCCCGCAAGCCGTGCACGAAATTAAATTCCGTCGGATTTCACAGAGGCGTAGTCCCGCTTCCGGGAATTTTTCCGCTTTAACGGGCTCGCCATTATATCAAGAGAAAACATATATCTCGCGCTCGCATTCCTGGCTCATGTTAAATATCTCAATTTGCGATGTACATCCTTTGACAAATAAAAATATATGATATTTATATTGGCATTCCATTAGATTAAAGACAAATTTAACGCATATCTTAATTTTATAGCATTCTTCCTTTGCTCATTCTTCATAAAAAGGATGAAATTCATCATATTTTAATTAAAACTAAACTTTATTTCTGTTTTTAAGTGCAACCCTCCTCCCCCTCCCCCCCTAAAGTGTCAATACGATACTATAGTAGATCCAATTACATGAAATTGAAAAAAAAACTTTTTATTGAATACAGTTAAATTAAATCTCGAATGAAATGACACGACTGCGAAGTTGTCATTGAAAGTCGTTGAAAGAAAAAACCGAAGAAATTACCATTTAAAGGATCCGATTCGACGATAACGATCGGCAATAATTCGAGACCCAATTAATTCGTATCCATCGTCATGATTAGATTACATTATTGGCTCGCCATTAATATCGATCAACGATGATGGCACACGCATAATGAGCATTCGCTGGAAAATCCATCATTTTGCGAGCATATAATTAAACGCAGATCTGCATAATCCGGCATTAACGACTACGTCCGCGTTGGCGGATGCGACCGCGCAGTTGCAACTTCGAAATGGCTTCAGTTGGTATATCGACACCCCGCGTTTCGTTTCCGCCAGGACTAATGCTGAAATTTACTGAAAGGACATCGATACTTGTATATCCCTCAATGTTCTCTTTAAAAGTATATCCACTGTGGACAAGGAAAGTCCCAGCATTTCGAAAATTCCTAAAAATCTGAAACTTTGAAAAAATAAAATTTATATAAATCTAATCACACAGCAATTTTCTGTTTGTGATAAACAATTCTAAAGGTAAAAACCTTCTTTCAAAGAAAATCTGACTTTTCATATTTCTGTTAATATCGTAGAAACTATAAGAGATATTGAAAAATATAAAAGTTCACTTTTCATGCCTGTAATATGATAAAACATATTAAATTTTTAAATACTTTCTTCGTTATTTTCTTAATCGGTTTTATTATAGTTGGATAACGGACGCGCTCGGAAGGATAGATATTTACGCTCTACGAAAATTATCTCATGCGCTAATTTTGCAGAACGCTATTTTATATTACATTATTTATATTGTACAATGGTATTAAATCAAATAAATTTTGACAATATTTTTTATTTACGACGAATATTTATTGTTATATTTTTGGAACATACGTTAATATGTTTTTGAACACTGAAGATTAATTTTAGGTACGTTTAAAATCTCCAATTCGCAAAATATTATAAAAAACTTTACATTTGATTATTATCAAATAATAAAAATTTCTACGGATTAAGAGAATGGTGGGAGAAGTATTTACAAACATATTTTTAAATCTCTCTTATTATATTATTGTAAACCATGAAAATTGTGAACTTTTGTATCTAATATTCTTTTTATGTCTCTTATAGTTTCTGCAATATTAATTATAGATATATGAAAACATTTCAGATTTTCTTTGAAGGGCTGCTTTCGCTCTTAAAGAGTTTATTTAGCCGAAACAGGAAATTACTGTGTAATTAGATTCACACATACTTTCTTTCTACAAAATTTCAATTTTTTAAGGAATTTTTTGGGTTGCCAAACGTTATAACGTTCCTTTAATAATTAAAAGGAAAATTTGCACAATTTGCATGACTTAAACCCTCAGAATCAAGGATAAATCACTTTAGAAACTCTCGTCCCTTTGCGGGGAAAAGGCAGGATTTCCTTATTTACTTCTCGCATGAATGCGGCAATGCGCGCAATTCGCCATTTCCGCGAAATTAAAAGGAAGATGGAATACAAGAGCGGGACAGAGAGATGATGAGCGAGAGAAGCGTGCGTCGTCGCGCCCGTCGCGCGTAACGAAGTGTTTTAAATCTTAGGGCGGCGTAACGAAGGGAGTAGATTACCCTCGTAACTCGCTTTACTCGCCCTTTATGCGTACCGCTGCAGAGTCGTAATTAATTGCGGCGCAGCGCGGCGCGGCGCGGAGCGGCGCACGCGTTACACGCGAGTTTTTATTAAAATTTACATCGCGTCCGAGCGCGCGCGAGCGCAGCGCGACGTAATAAGGAGACAGCGGCTCCATTTATTAGCAGAAATCTAATAAACTCCATTATCAAGTAAGATCGGCGCGTTACTTTCATCAGAGCGTCCAGCTGCGTTTTTTCCGGACGAGCTTTACCGACCGCTATTTCGCTCGACTGTAACTCACATAAATAAAATAAAAAATGTACTTCTTATAATACAAATTTTTCTACCAACGATTATAATCAAACATTTTAGGACGGAGTAAAGGAACTCGATAAAAATATTGTGACGCTAAATAATTTCATCCTAAAAATTACTATTAAGGAGGAAAAATAAAATAATGAAATAATTAATTAAAAAAATATATTATATGCCAGCGTAAAAAAATCAGGCGATCCATGTCGAAATCTCGTGTGTGTACTATTATGACCGAGTTTATGTTCCAGATTCAACACTGTACGTTATAGTTGTTATTAAAATGGGGTTCGCGAAATATAGTTTAAGCAGCGCAGGCCGCATTTCCGCTTAATAAATTTTTGTTATTGCCAGTGCACAATCGCGAGAATCGCGGAATTGTGATTTGATCGCGCGGAACGGATCGCAGGGAAATTAATTCGTATCGTTTTTCGGACCTCTCATTTTCGTCGCTTTGCGCTCGGGTTTCTCGATCGCCGATAATAATTCCATGGTGCCACGTCGAGAAAAATCGGACGCGGGACAGTGCGGAATTATCGGCGGAAATCGCGCGATTCGTTCCGTTCGTTCAAAACGCCCGATACGTATAATATAATCCAAGTAACAACGAAAAATATATTAATATCGCAATGACATTTCGTATATTAATCACGGAAAAAAGCAGTTCAGAAACAAGATGTAATAATGTGTGTCCGAAATTAAAAATTGTTATCTCGGATCCTGGAAATGGAAATAAAGGGAAGGAAATAAAGAGAAGGAATTAAAGAGAAGTCGGCGCACAAAGTAATTTTGAAAAAATTGTAACGCGAATCATATTATTTCGCGTTACGAAATATTCGATGTCTGTATTTCATTTATAATAATGTACTTCAAATTATCTATTATACTTTCTAAATAATTATGTTACAATAAATGACAGCGTGACCTTTTCCGACAAGTATTTAAGCCTATCAATTATTGTTATTGGTTATTATAATCATTAATTACAATTGTAATTACGCAATATCAACAATTGCGCGCGAATCGCTCGTCAAATTATGACTGCAAAGTCAGGCGGAAAAGTCCAAATAAGTTTGCGATGAAAGTTTTTAAAATACTCGGGACGGCGTGTGTCTTAATGCAAGAATGATCGCAGGCGACCGTGAATTTTCCGTTCGACTTTGGCATCGACTTGGACTCTCGCGGATTGAACCGCTTTCTGGGTCGCGCGTAAAATATTTTAATGGGCCATCGTGGTATATACGAAAGGGACACACACTTTCCCGCGGCGATGCATGCTCCAGTCGTAGTCCGGCCGCGGTACGAGTTAAGTGGTAAGTTTTGAAATATGGCCGACCGCGACCATCCGCGCACGGCACGGGGCGCGAGGAGAATACATCGCGCAATGCGCGCCCGTGCAATGTGGCCGCTGCTCGATGAATTCAAATGGGCCGCGATCGAGAAAGGCCGAAAATGTATAAATTCGAACATATATTTCGTGATAATAGACAAAAGGCATTGTTGGCCGAATTTCGACGCGAGAATCAAAGAGTTTACTGTTTTCGTTTTGTATCGCATAGTGAATTGTTTATCTATTTCGCTCATTAAATTACAAACGACTTTTATTTAACAGTAAATTTTAAGAACGTCCGAATCTATTTTGCGATTCCGGATTATTCAAATATCGACATAAACAACATGCTTCTTATAATTGTCAAGAAATTATATGTTATAACATTGAGGAGAAGGGTGCATTTGAAAATGATCGAAATATCAATTTCCTATTTCGTTTTTTTCAAAATAGATTTTCTTCTGCGTGCTTTGAGTTATATAAAATGGTTTCTGTCTAAATGTCTAAAAAAAGACTGAACGTACTTCCTCTCCGAATAATTGGAAGCGGATGATCAAAAAAATAACAGAAAAAACTTTTTATAAATTTTTATTTAATTTGTCACATGATTGTGCGTCTTCTATTTAATTTGTAGCCTTGATTTAAAATAGACAATGAAAAAGGGGATAAAAATTATTGCAAAAAAATGTGTGGTTGTAACACGCTATTAAAACCTTCGAAGCACTCTCGTGTAAAATCACTTTTTTTTACCTCTATGTACTTTTATCTTGACAGGTACTGAATCGATTTTTATGAACTTTTTTTAAATTTCTCTAATGGATGGGCTACGATTTGATAGTTCGCTTTTAAAGAATTATCAATGTATCAAAAGCTACGAGCAATTAAAGCAAAAACAAAAAAGAATTTCTTTCAAATTACAATTAAAATTCGGGAAAAGCTTGTTTAGGAAAAAGGATCGATCAAAATGCGACTAATTACGCGAGAAATAAAAGAAAGAAAAGATGAAGTATGTTCAATTTTGCAATTGTACAGCCTTCCCTTTAAACTTTCGCGAACTAAGTTACATATTATAAAAATTATTGTACTACTGCTCTCTTACGTAACGATTCAAAAAAAGCATTCAAACATACTTAAATGTACATATTAACTTTATATATAGATATATTTGACTACTTTGTTGCCCGAGTAACCATATGTAGCATAATATTTGTGAAATAATCGCGAGCACGGTGAAACACCTGAATAATTCGAAGGTGAAATTTCGTCTTAGCGTTGGCACGGGAGCGCAAAGTTGGGGCGCGAGCGGAAATAAGCCCTTCTGGCGTAAACTGAAACCGAAGTTACGTAATGGGGCGACGGGCGTGCGGGTCGCTCCACTTTTATGACTGGAATATTACTCTACTTTGGCTAATCTAAACTTTAGGGTTAATGTAATGTAATTCAACGAAGGCGGTTTACACCCGGCCGGCTAATTACGTCGCGCGATTTGGGGCCCGCGTGATCCTAATAAATTCATTTGCGGACTTATGTACGTATGTACGTTTATTTCGTATATATAAATGTTTATCGAGATCGGCAATCTCGATAAAGATAAAATTGCACAAAGAGAAGCCAGCTGATCAGGCTGGCCGAGAATTTAATGGGATTAACATTTCGAGCTCTAAATATTATACTCGACTACGCATTAAATTTTCCAATTAATCGTATCCAAGAATTAACTAGATAAATCACATAATGTTTACAACAAATCTGAGAAGTACGTTTCTCAATTAGCAGAATAATTAATTGGACAAATGTATTTCACGAAAGCGTTGTAACAAATAATTTGTGGAATGATAGAACTTTATATAATATTTCGTAAAAGCAAGAAATTGTCAAAGCAGGTTTCACCACAATTAAGACTGAAAAGTTGAAAATTGGGACAATGACTCACCTCGACGATGTAATGAAGACCCGACAGCGTCATTCTCGCTACAGAATCTTTCCTCCGTACTGGTTGCTGCCATCGTCTGAGAGTGACACCCTATGAATATTCAGAAATGTGTTGTTTTTTTTTATCGCAATATTTCCTGAAATCCCTAATTTCCTTGCTAAATCATTAAAGCGAATTTAGAGAAAGAATTATTTAGAATTAATATCGATTTTTTCTAATCTAATACAACTGTTTAATATAACAACTCATTAAGTTATACATATATAATAACAGCCTGAAGCGACAAATTATTATTAATCATTGATTATTTTCAATTATTAATTATTTTCAATTGTTAATTATTTATTAAGCTACGTTCTGCAAATTATGTTTAGATACACGAGCTGTTTTTTGAGAAAATAATCCAGGAGTTGTACCAAAATTATCTGTCAAAGGTCATGTCATAACTATCCAGAACCAATTTAATTTTCCATAATATCGTCAAACGAAAATTTTAAAAACACGCGTATTTTTTAAGTGTCCATTTTAAAGTTCAAAGAATAAAACAATCTCTCAAAGCAAACTCTTACATATAATTCTAAGCAATCATCACTAAAACGGTAAAATATACAAGAAAATGTTTTAGACAAAACTTCAATGGTTTTTCACGTACTTTATATCGGTGTTTTTAGATTTTCTAAAAATCTAATAGTTCAAAAATTTTTTATTTCTAGAAAAAGTATAAACTTATTCACGAAAGTCATAACGAGAATGGATATCTTAAAAAGTATTAGATTCTTGGGAAATCTAAACACACAGTTATAAAAGTACATACAAAAAAACAGAAAATTGTCTAAAACATTTACCAGTTCGGTGATAATTGATTCGAACCAAATATAAACGTTAACTTTGAAATATTACTTAAAAACATAAGTACACGTCTCTTAGACTTTTATGTCTAATAATATATTCAAGCAGAATTAAATCCGTTTCGGACAGTTGTATACTTGTAAGACGTGTATTATACGTAATCATTCTATAATCATAATGACAATACATTCCTAACTCACAAACATTTTCGTCAAACTGCTCTACTTGAAAAACTTTTAATTCGCGCTGCCGAAATGGTTTATCCTGCTGACGCAGTCCAAACTCCCGGATTATCATCGATTACGATCGCTCATACGATTGTAATCGCGCCTGGAACGTATATTCTCGTGGTACAATGCACTCACTTCCGGCGTCTCGGTCGTGTCCGGTACGTCCCGGGTGATGTCCGGATCCGGCGGCCTGTGTTCCGGTACCAGAGCGCCGTACTTCCTCGACGCCATGCGTCGCCGTCGGTCCAGCCATCTCTGTTTCTCCGAGGTCTCCGATTCCTCGTCGACCCCGAAGAACTGCGCTGTCTCGCGTCTGATATAGCTGCAAGATTTGGGAAGAATATTATACATCGCTCAGAGACTCACATATATGTATTATCTCAAATACAATTCAAGTCGGATTTACCTTACCGATTAACGCATTGATTGCCACGTCATTTGTGAATAACGCACTCAATTTCACAAAAAAAAACGTCCAAGATGCCAAACACATTTTCTTTCATGATTTACCCTTTTGCCATAAAACATTATTTCAGGTTAAAATGTTACTGTTATATAAAATTGAGTGCCATTCGTGTTTGAATGACGGGACACTCTCGGAAACAAGGAGTGTCATTCATATATGAATGACGCACATGTGACACGGCAATCAATATGTTAAAAAGCAGCCGTGTTTCTTTATTTATTTATCAATTCCAAAAACAAATTAACAATATATTATTTGCAGAATAAATCAGATTCAAAATAATTTGGTATAAATAATAATCTTTAACGTAACAATACCCACAATTTTTACTTTTATCGTTTAAAATAAAGTGATGCATTATATATACTGTTTCTATTCTATAAGATCTTCTATCAGAATTGTCGAATAAATAATCTTTTTTTAACTTAAGTGAAAGTTCGTGCTTTAAAAATAACGAATACAGAAAAATAATACAAAAGAAAGTTTTTAAAAAGAGAGAGACAGCTAGACAGCTATTGGTTTCCGCACGTTTTATATTTATACTCTACATATGTTACCGAAATTGTAGAATCCTAAATTAAGATCTATTTTTTCGTGTGATTTGGTAAACGCAGCGCGACAGTAAACAAATTCTTCTCGCTGCGGCATCGATGAAAAAAAAAATTCCCAAAAACAATATTCAATATTTTAAACAGCTGCACGCACTTTACACCGTGCGAATCGCTCTCGTGCCAGCAATTTTTTATCCATCATATTTCGATGTCCAACACAACAATCCTTTTCAGAGAGTGGCCAGATTAATAGAGGAATTTTGGAAAATGGAACGTTTCGTCGGGATCGGCGCTGTCGGCTCGTACTCACTTCCGAATGGCCTCGGTGCGGCTCTGGTTCCTCCTCAGCCTCGGCCGTTGCGCTGCCGAGGCGCTCGCCGAGGAGCTGGTGATCTGGACGACCGGCCGCGGTGCGCTCGGCGCGGAAACGCTCCGGGCGATGCCGGTGCTTCCGGCGGCGGCGACGCCGGAGGTTGCCAGCGGCACGGTCGCCGACGCCGTCGTCACCGGCGTCGCCGTCGTCACGGCCGACGACGTCGCGACGCCCATCGGGTACATGCCGATGCTCTGCGCCGTGTCCCCCTCGCCGGTCGTCGACGATACCGTCGAGGTGCCGGTCGTGCCGGAACTCGGCGATGGTTGCCTAAAAACGAAAGAGAAATGTTATTCTCCTGCGTGATTTATATGGAAGAAGTTGCTGCAAAAGAAGAGCTTTATGCCCCTCCATTACCATCGGATAGGAGTAAACATTGAGTAGAAGATTTTTAAGATAAAAGAAGATTACTCGATAAGCGCGGCGTTTATGTTGTTTCGCCGTCCAGAGAATATGTCCAGTTCGATCAATTGCTGAGTCCGATTGATTTTGAAACCGGAACGAGAATGCGACATAAGAAACGAGAGCGCATATTTAAACACGCCGTTGTAAATTACTTTATAAATTCCTACCAGACGTAGAAATAACTTGAAATAACACGAGATATGATTTTGCAACTTCAGGTGATGTATAGTGTTTCTTAGTTTATATCTTTCCCTCTTTTCTCTCTCGACGTTTCAGTAATTCAATCAGGAAGTTTGCTTGAGTAATATCCTTTTTCGGAGGGAAAAAATAAGAAATTTATTTTAACATAATAGTGAAAGAGAGGAAAGACCCTGCGGCAGTCGGGCTAAGAGAGATATCTATCGCGCTTTTATACTGCAATTTAAAGTTAAGAAGTTTACATTAAAAATTATAAGAATAAAAATATTAAAAGTTATAATTCTAATATAATTGCTTAAGGAGGTGCTGGCGTTTGATCAAATATAAGATAAATCTATAATACATGTATGATACGAAAGTTAATTATCAATAGTATGCAGAAAAAATTGTATTGCCTTTTTTCGTATCGTTTTGAAATTTTTGACGTATTTGTTATTGGCGTAATATTAGAAAATACGAGAATTTTTTGACGTATTTGTTATTGGCGTAATATTAGAAAATACGAAAATTTGTATAATAGATCTACATTTCAGACACATTCAGATATTTTAAATTAAAAAAAAAACATTCTTTTTTTTTTAACTTTACTATATTTTAATTTATACTTTAATACTTAATTATCAATACTTTTGAATTATATATCTCTTTTAATTTTGCGTTTATAAAATATATATACGACAGATGCAGATTAAACGTACATGATTTGTATACCTCTATATTTTAAATCGCTTCCATTCAGTAAAAGTATAACAATAGCGTTAAATAAAAGTTATAATTTTTATAATAATAATACATTTTAGTTTGTGAATATAGCGGAGCATTCGGGGCACGAAATATTTCGTGATTTTCTCGTTGATTTTAGTTGAGTACACAGAATTTCTATTTTTGCGCGCTTGTATCTTTATTAATTTTTTTCACATTCGCGGTTTCCATTGTCGAGCGGTGACGCGTTTTCATATCCTCTTCATTGGAATTGAAAGAATTTTCATTCTTGCGAATTTCAATTTTGACATAAATTCGACTCTGCTGGAAATGTGGAAATTGCAACGGACTCTCGAGAAATATGCTGTTTAAATAACAGGAATAGTTACTTTTACTAGAGTTACTTTTCTGCATGTTAAATCTGAATTTTTTTGAAATGTGACCTATTATCTCACATTCTTGAGAAGAATTAAGTATGATGGAACAAAAATTAATAATTTTTAAAGTTCTAGAGTTTCTAATAGTTTAAACCAATAATTCCGGCAATTATATTAAAGACAATAACACTTTACGAGAAGAGTACAATTCTCTGATGGTAAAAATAATATTTCTTTTCACATTTTCTCTGTTTCACATTTACGAGAATTTTCTTTCACCTCTAAAATTATTTTAATGAAAATTCAGAAATTTATTTGGCATGCAGAAAAGTATCAAACGTATCATTCTGCTTATTATTTAAATAACAGAACTTATATAAATTGGTATTATTTACAAAGATACATATATTTTTCAAGATTTATTACTGATTTTCGAATACTTAATAAAGTCTTGCAAATATTCTGTTAATCTCCTCCCGTCTTTAAACAAGTTACTTAACTATATTTATTTAGTTACAAAATACGACAAATTAAATAATTTATTACCGTAAACCGTGCTTTATTAAAAGGACGAATAATGGTCTCTTTCTAACATTACACGGAGAGAATTTTTGGTTATATTTTACCCTTAAATTCACTACAAACTTGGGACAACTTGGCAACCAAGGAATTTTTAAAATATACAAGAGACATTTTACAAACAACGTGGTAAATATTACCAAGCAGATTGGTAAATTTTAAAAAATTATTGAAATTTCCTAGATATATTTTAGTAAAATTAATCAAACATATTTTATATTTTAATGAAATAGATATTAATATTTTTTATTATGGTGGATATTAATCAAAATAGCTCGCATAAAATTCTTGGTGGTACATGTTGTCCCACAACTACCATGATTTCAGGGTAAATAAGAGAAAATTTTCTCCGTGTATTTGTATTAAAAAAATGCTAATTTATTCATCGGCGTTTATTAATTACACTAGCTGGTTACCCGGGCTTCGCCCGGGCGTCGTTTTTCTTCAAACAACTTCATTTGTGTTTCAATATCCTTATTGTGAACAAACATAAAGAGTGTGTCGGGTGGTTGATTTAAAGGCGGTAGTTTAACTTTTCCGCTTGAACAACACATTCCAGGTGCTTTTAAACTTTTTTGCTCGACAATGATCACATATTGCATCCATTTTCCCAATTATTACTCTCGGATGAAATTGATATTCGTAATTTAAATCATAACTAAATGCCTTTAATTTCAAATCGGAACGCATAAATGCCTTGTTTGAAATGCCCTGTTTTCCTTGATTGAACATTATGTCGTAACCGGTCTTTTTCAACTCGAGTTTCACACTATTGAGTCATTTCCGGTTTTCCAATATTTCACTTACCGATCAGCGACATCATCCTTTGGTTTTCCCGGGCGTTTTTTCGGGAATTTCGAGATTGCTCGCTCGTGATGTACACAGAACCTCGATTTTTAAGAAGACCGGTTACGACATGTTCAATCAAGAAAAACATTTATGAGTAATTTGTAAACCGATTTTCTTGAGACCGGTGCTAAAGTTTTTCACGAAAACAAAGCTTTCTCTTAAAAAAATTAAACCTATCGTCGCAATCCTCCAAAAATTAGAAAAATTTTGGCCTCGGTGTCAAGAAAATCGGTAAAACAAAAATCGAACCCCATCGCCGCCATCCCCAAGAAATTAGAAAAATTTCGACACCTTTTGCAAGAGAATCGGCCCATTAATGAATGAGTAGTTCGCAGTCAAACAGACAGACAGACATTCGACACTTATATATACAGATGAGTGGTATTTAATTTGGAAACGATCAGTTTTAAAAATAAAAAAGGACTAACTAAAATAAATTGCAAGTGCATTTAGCTTATATTAAGAAATTTAAAAAACACTATAATTAAGTACGTTTTCGTTTAAAATTTTTCGAGATATAAAAGCAAACATACATACACACCAATCCGCAAAAATGTTATAAATTGAAAAATATCACTTTTTTAAAAAAGAACCGCCAAATTAAATTGCCCTATAGCACTCCTGAGATTTCAAGGAACATGTTGGTATAAGTTTTTTCAAAATCGGTCCAATAGTTTTTAAGTTAATAACGTTCAAACACACACCACCCATAAGAATTTTATATATTAGTATAGATTACGAGAAATAAATTACGCGTTACTGTAGCAATAATAAATTAGCAGATTTCTATTTACGGTAAGCGAAGAAATATCTCAAAAATATATATATACGCGGTATAAGACGCGATTTGAACCAAGGACGATTTATGCTCGCGCAAATAAAAAGGAAAACTGCGCCGAGAATTTCCGCGACGCCACATTTTTCTCGCAGCGGCAGCTGCATCCCTCGCGCAACCCTGCATTCATTTAGGCGAAGTACAGCGTGCCTCTCTGGTGGAGAAAGGAAGGGTGAGTCAATATCGCGCGCATCAGGGCTAATTAATGGCGAAGTCGCCCCCTTCTTAGACGCGCTGTCACCCTCTCTTGCAGCGGACCATGCAACGCGCCGTGTTAGTAATTTTCCCTGGGAAAATTCGTGAATTTTTTACCCGACCACGCCAACCCAAAATAAATGTTATGGAAACTGCGATTAAGGTATTAATTAGCTGCGGAGAGGGTCAAATATTTGGAAGTAATAAATGAATGTTTAATTTCCTTAACAGAGCGATAAGATGACGATTAAAACGGAGCCTGAATCGAGCGAAAATACTGGAGGATGCAAAAAGAAAGAGGATGCGCCTAAGCAAAATTCACGGAAAGAATGTCACGCCGCGAGACCGTCCCATGAATAGATGAGGAGAGATAGAATTGAGAAGTTAGCTGAGCTTGCAAGCCTCCGTGCAACTTGAATGCACATAAGAGCGCGTGAAAGAAGCGATATTTCTCGGCGCCACGTTTAGAATATGCTCGGGAAAATTTACAGGTTTAACCGGAAGTTCATCATCGATATTATTTGCTCTTTTGATCTTATGTATATCGAAATTCCGAATTCATCGTTGTTAAAATCTTTTTTGAAATCTCTAATCTTGATCAGAGAGAGAGAAAGAGAGAAAGCCGTTATGGAAAAAGCTACCGTGCTTGCGAAAAAAGCACACAAATCATTATTACAGTCATTACTGTAATAATGACTATAGTTTCGTGTACTCTTTTCGCAACTACAGTATAGTCTTTCTGTAGTATTTTTCCATAAGAGAGAAATACGTAGTTACGAGATAAACAGGAAATTAAAGAGTTTAAGTTTTGATATTGGTATGGAAAATACAATTTTTTATCGTCCTCTGATTTATCCTCGGATTTCTCTTACGTGGGGATAAATTAGCCAATAATCTGATAAATATACGATAAAATAAATATCGGAGAGAACCAGACAGACTCTATTTTAACGTTTCGCATTCGCCATTTGCGACGTCTGCTAATAATTTCTACGTTCTATTTCGGTCATTTCAGAAATTTCCCGGCATGGCGCGCGAAGGAAGTTATACCATCGCAGAAATATTCCGATCGGAAGAGCCGTAAGGCGACGCGACGCCCTGGCCTGTATTCGGCTGGTATTTAAGACGAG